GCTCCGAGCTTTGCAGTCTGCGGCTCTGAATCAGATTGCCAGGAGTACCAGCTAATCTATAATTTATTTGAAGACTTGAGCAGCATTCAAAAATGGAAAAAGAGCTGGATTTAACTGTCATGTAGAGTGGACAATCCAGCTCCACAGAGGTCTTGTCTCAGCCCTATAGCTCCCAGGCATGTCAGATGAAGTAGTGTTTTCAGTCTTCTGCTGCTGACTGCTACTAATAAAAAAAATGAAAAGATCCCTTTTGTACAGTATCTTATGTGAGCACTAGTCCCAAAATGCTATATTATTCTGGTTTCTTTTGGGAAGGCTGTTTGTATTTTCTGCTATATTTATAGGACCTGTCAAAAAATAGACATCACTTCTAGGTAAAGAAACTGCATTGAATTCTTTATTTAATCATAAGATACTTCCCAAAAACAAAGTGGGAATCCAATTTTCTGTGACCTATTTACAGTTCTCCTGAGTGAAGCATGCTAAATAAAGCACCTTCTGTTGCTGAGCAGGAAGCAGAAGATGCACTACTAGTGCATCTAGCCATGCCTTGTCCTGAGACCTAAGATCTTGCTCCAGAATGAATTAATTTTGTCAGTGCAGAACACACACAAAACAAGAGCAAGTGGAGAGGTTTGAACAGTAGTGCATTGTATACACAGAATATGTGTGAGGATGAGGAGCTAAAGGATAGATCCATGGAAATGTGAATTTAGAGAGGCAGTGGGCAAAATGTTTAACATTTGCTTTACAAAGAACCCTTCTGCTACAAATTACACACACGTCATCCAGGTGTCACAAAAACAAATGGAATCTAAATGATTCTATCAGAGATACGCAAGTCCTTTCTCAAAATTAAAATATCTGAAAGTATTGTTAATCTGTAGAGATTGCTTTCAGGAAAAATAAGTATAATAAGCATAATTACATTTTCACTGTTCCCTTTTCAACAGCCAGAGAATCTGCTCATCGATTTAAGGATCCCAGTTCCTCGTGTCAAGATCATTGATTTGGAAGATGCAGTTCAAATCACAGGCCATTACCACGTCCACCATCTCCTTGGAAACCCAGAGTTTGCAGCCCCTGAAGTTATCCAGGGCCTCCCTGTATCCCTGAGCACAGACATCTGGAGCATCGGGGTCCTCACCTACGTCATGTTGAGCGGTGTCTCACCCTTCCTAGATGAAAGCAAAGAGGAGACTTGTATCAATGTGTGCAGAGTCGATTTCAGCTTCCCACCTGAGTACTTCTCTGATGTGAGCCACGCCGCCAGGGATTTCATTAACGTCATCCTCCAGGAAGACTTCAGGAGGAGGCCGACAGCAGCCACTTGTTTACAGCACCCATGGCTGCAGCCACACAATGGCAGCTACTCCAAAATCCCACTGGATACCTCTCGCCTGGCATCCTTCATTGAGCGCCGCAGGCACCAGTATGATGTGCACCCTGTCCCCGGTGTCAAGAGTTTCCTGATGAGCAGGCTTAACCCTGGGACGTAATGCCCACCTCCCCGGACACTACAATGCTGGTTCTGGGGCAGGGCACAGGGAATGAGCAGGCCCAAAGCAGAGCTTCTGTACATACTTCTGTATTCAGTGTTGGCATTTGAAGGTACAAATCTGTCCAGAGGTCCCGGTACCTCCTCAGTTACTCAGGATCAAAGCAAGCAGGGTAACGGTGGCAGGTACTTAGGTGTCCTCTTCAATGAGCACCTCCTGGAAGCATCTCCACAATACGCAGCAGCAAACACCAACTGGAGACAAGAACCAAAACTGCAGTTGCCTTAATCTTTGGGAGGCAGCCTTACCAGAAATCCTCTTGATCTTGCTGAACTGATTTCTGAGTGTACGAGAGATTAGGTGTAGGATAGTGTGTGGAGGAGTAAGTCTAGGCTGACCTTTGTGTGTATTGCAGGACTTGGCTGAATGCAGCTCTCGTTGAAGTCACTGCATGCCTGCTCTGGGTGAACAGATGGATTTTTTGTGTTCTGTATGCCCAGGTCTCCCATGATTTCTGTGAGGATTTCACCTGCAAGATCAGGCCTGTTGGATCAGCTTCTGTGGTGGCTTGGCTTAGATACACCCTCATTACATGGTAGTGCTCAGAATAAAATCCCATGTTAATCCTTGGGCTTTCTACTGCATCAAGTCAACGTGCAGTACCTTTTGGAGCTATGATTGAGGCAATGAATTCATTGGAGCATACAGCTGTTTCTGACTAAGCACAATGGGACTATGATGGTGGTTTGTTTTTTTGTGGTTTTTTTTTTTTTTAATGCATTTTATATACACTGTACAGAAACCTTTTGCAAAACCTGTGCATTGAGAAAAGGCTGAGTCCAATTTTTGCAGTATCTGTAAACTAAGTGATGATTGACGAAGACAATTTTTTCTATCACAGGTTTTCAGTATACATATATTGTATCATATATATATATAAATATATATATATAAAGGATCCTGTTCCATTTCTAGCTTCAGAATTGCTTGGCCCAAAGTCCATCTAAAGCCTTTCAAAGTGCAGTTGGTAAGTGGTGAGTCCATCCTTGTGCTTACAGCTTGAAAATTGTTTTCAGTGTTAAAAGTATGTCATTTGGTTCATTTCCAGTCTTGTAAATATCTCTCAGCTGCCGTTAGCACCTCATCGCCAAAGCATTTGTGAGGATATTTTTCTGTCCAAAGCCTAATTTGTAATAAAATAATAATAATAAAAAAATCCACAATTAAAACATTTCTCTCTTGCAAGCCAAGTTGCAACATCATCACAGTGATGTTACGGTGACAGAGCCAGCCTTATGTATGAGCAATGCAGGGAGCCTGCAGTGACAGATCAGCAGTCTGTGGGCTGGCCAAGTCTTCTCTCTAGCAGCAGGAAGGGAAAACACCTCCCTGGTTTCTGCACCATAAAACCCTGCAGCCTTCCTGGCTGATGATCAGACTTTTTTCCCCTTGGCATATCAGTGAGTTGTCTCAGTGCTGAGTGCTGCTGCTGTGCCTGCAATAGGAAATGTCAGTTGTTACCAAAGCTTTTCCTAAGGAAAAGGGCTTATTCTGGCCATGTGTACTCAGCAGAGGCTCTCTTGAGATATCTCATCAGAGCAAGAGCCAAATTCAATTCACCATCCAACTAACTGCACTGTGAGTTTGTGATATATTGTCAGGAGCAAAAGCTGGTTCTACCAGCAGGTGACAGAGACACTCTGCAAGTATTGCAAATTCCCAGGTCTCTGCTAGCCCTTCTGATCCACCTCTGAGCTCAGTTTCATGGCATTTGGAGACCTGGCCCTTCTCTTTGTGCTTGCTCTACCAGGATGCTAGAACAGTCAGGCACAGCAAGTTACAACGTTCAGTGCTGCAAACCTTAAGATCTGGGAGCCACAGGCGGATGGGTAAGCCCACACAGAGTCAGAGGCAGCATACAAGACTGAGTGTGTGATCTGATCCCGGGGGAAGTTGAGGGAAGGCTTGAGTGTTCATGGAGGGCTAAAACTTTTGAACCGATTTCAGTTTCCCTCTGTAGTGCAGCAACTAGTTTTCCAAGCAATTCAGTGGCACCTCAAAGACAAAGACCAGACTCTCCTCCTGAATGGGAGTGTGAGGTGTACAATTTCTTAGCAACTAAAACATCTCCAGGCAGTCATCAAGAGGTGTCTTTAATTAGCTCCAGCCTCAGGTACTTCCTCACTGAAGGACTGTTTGTGCTTCTTCCCATTTGTCAAAGCTGGCTCTTTGTGCTGTGATTGTGCTGCCTTTCAGAAAATGTTTATGGAAGTGTGGTTTATAAAACCTACAGCTTTTATGGGGCCCATGGGTACACTTTGAACAACACTCTTTCTACTTGGCACCAGTACAAACAGATTCTCACGTATCACAGGAAATCTCAAGCTATTTATCATTTTCTTTTGCTATGTCCTGCATTCACATTTCAAACTGTGAAAACAGGCACTGTGGGCCTATGGAGGGAAAAGATCAGATTGATTAAGGAAATATTTAAGCCTCTCTATGTCTTTTCTCTCTTCTGTTCTCATTTGATAGAAGCTGGAGGGTTAAATACTGTTTTAACAATTCTTTAAAGCAGTCCAATTGCCTTTTTATTTTAAACAGCTTTATTTTCATTAACACCTTTAAAATAATTTTACTTTTAACCTAAGGTAAAGCTGAGACAAAGCCTGTGCCATCAGTGGGCCTTGTTACAAATGCCACAAAGGCTGAATGCAGAACTGCGCGGTGCAATGTGACTATATATAACTGTATATTAATGCCCTTGCAATGAGAGGGCTGCATCAGGTGACCTGGGCTATGTAAACTCCCAGAGACAAATATCCAGCATAGGGCCTGGGTTTGTTTTGTGGCTCATTGGCAGCGTTCTATCCCAACACGGTGCTTCCCAAAGATGCAAGGCCAGGCCAGGTGCTGCCAAGCTGGGTCTGGCACTGTGCTGTGTCAGCACCACATGTTGGCTGTGGAAGAGTGGTGGGACAGGTGTGCATGGCTCTGCACAGACCGTGGCCACCTCAACCTTGTTCACTAAGAGCAAAGCTCTGTGCTCATCAGCTTTCTAACAGCCAGCTGAAGGAGGAAGGGGGAAGGCCCAGCTGATGGCACGGTGTTGTCAAGGTGCAAAGTGACGCCACAGCCTTAATGATGCCAGCGCACAGTGCAGCCTGAAGCACACTGCTACGCCAGGCGTGATCCAGCGCTACGGACATGGCTTCGAACTGGCCCTCCCTATGAACAGACTGTGCTAACGATGCAGTTTCTGGGCTTTATTTTCTTTATTTATTTTGGATTAAACTCAGTTGTTCAGAGAACAGCGGCTCAGTCTCGTTTCCCAACGCGGGTTGATGGTGATGGGAGGGGGAACGAACTGCACCCGGAACGCGTGAACGCGGCCTGGGAGAAGGGGGGGGACACAAATAGCCATCGCACCTCCGCGCATGCGCATTTCCTCACGGTGTCGCCGCTTCCGTCATCTCCCGGCGCCGGGCAGCGGGCGGGCAGATGGCGGCGGGCGGCGCGGAGCGCGTGGCTGCGGCGCTGCTGGAGGCGGGCGCTGTGCGCTTCGGAGACTTCGTGCTGCGGAGCGGCATCGCCTCACCCGTCTACGTGGACCTGCGCGGCCTGGCCTCCCGGCCCCCCCTGCTCCGCCTGGTGCTGTGGGAAGGGAGGGGCTGGACGAGTGGCTTCAGGGGTCTGAGGGGGGTTCTAGGGTCGCGGTGCCGGGCTTTGGTCGGGGAGGTGGGTTGGGCTGTTTGCTACAAGACGGGAATCGAGGATGTGGGGCGTGTCCAAGGAATGGTATTGTTCGGGCTGGGGAAGGGGGAGCTTAGCGGCTCTCTGCTGCTCCCTGTGAGGAGGTTATGGCGAGGTGAGGGTCGGCCTGTGCTATGGTAATAGCCATAGTGTGAGAGATGATGGCCTCAAGTTGTGCCTGGGGGTTCAGGTTGGATGTTAGGAAACGTTTCTTCTCTGAAAGAGGGGTGATGCAGTGGCACGGCTGCCCAGGAGTTGGTGGAATCACCATATCTGAAGGTCTTTAGGAATCGTGGAGATACTGTTTAGCAGTGCTCACTTTGGTCTGATTCCTGAAATATACGTATTTTTTAGGTTGCTGATCTTCTGTTCCAAGCAGCAAAAGACGCTGCTCTCCAGTATGACTGTGTGTGTGGTGTTCCATACACGGCTTTGCCGTTGGCCACAATTATCAGCTCTGAAAATCAGATTCCAATGCTTATACGGAGGAAAGAAGCAAAAGATTATGGTAAAACTGTCAAATGATGAATTTGTCATTACTTCTGGTCTTGTCACGTGCATCTCTGTTATAGTTTAAGATTATCACTCCAACTCAAATAGCAATCCCATTTCCCCTAAGCATACTTCTTATAATATCCCAACCCAACCATGCTCTCCCAGCTGCAGCTGGGCTTCTGCTGTAGTAGGGGTGAAAGGTCTCAGGCTTCCTCTTTGTTCCCACGGTGTCTTTTTTCCTTTAACACCATTGCTGTAGTTTACTGCCCTCTTCTAGAAGCAGATTTGTAATGCAGTTTTTGATAATGCTGAGGCCGGTGCTATGTTTGACCTCCAAACAACTTTTTGCATATCAACTCCAAAAAGAATCTTTATTCTCCTGTTGTCTCTCATTCACTTGCACTTTCATATCCTATAATCAGCAGGCAAAGTGGGCCAGGTGAGAAGCAGTCAGTTCTGTACATAGCAATCAATTTTACTTGATTTTGGTTGAAGCAGGGGCGAGATGCTTGTAGAGGGGAAGAGTACAGTATTATCCACCCCTGGCAACTGGATTTCCATCTGTGATAAGCTCTCTCCCAACATCATTAAGGCAGGATGTTTGTAAAACCTAAATGGTACTCCTTTGTTAGTCAGTGTGCTAGGCTTGAGAACTTCTGCTGTTCATTCTTGTGAGGGACAAGTTGATTGTGACAGCAATTAACTGCCTGGCACGAGGTTTCCGGTGTCACACAGATTGCAAAGCTGTACTGACACTTGTGAGGCAGCCATGGTCTGAGCACTGCAGTGGCTGCATAATGTTCACCCGCTGCTCCCTGCTTCCTCAGAAAGCTAGGCTTCCTTTGTTGCTGCCCCCTGGGAGGCCTTTCATGGACTTGTGCCTATTGTTGGTGATGGTAAAGGCATCTGGGGGCTTTACTCCTCCAGATTGTTCTAACAACAAGCATATTAAGCATAGAATAATGCCTGTGGAAAACAGAAAATATGTTGAAGAGTTTCAATAACTTTGCAAGTTTAAAGACGTTTTCAGTAACAGGAAAAATATTTTTGATGTTTTGAAGGTTCAGTTCATAGCGATAATAAACTTCTAGTGAGCTTCATTAAAGACTGTTAAAAGATGTGCTGTCAGTAAGATGTTGGTTTTGGTAGTGGATTGTGTGAAATGTGTTTTGTCCCCTTGGAGAAGTAACACACTATGAATTGAGTTATGAGGCAGTGCCTGAGATGTGGTATCTGGAATCAGTAATAACAACATAACTACTCTACGTTCTGACAGTGAGTATGAAATTCTTATAAACCTGAAGCCCAATTCCATTTTTACTGCAGCGTATGCTTGTATGCAAAACAAATACGGTCTTTACGTTAACATCTCAGGTTAAAATCTGGATGCATTGGGTACATTCTGAAGTCTTTTGTACTTTATTTAGTGGAGCATTTTCCTTCTCTTTTAAAGGTACCAAACGGCTGGTAGAAGGCACCATTAATCCAGGAGAAACATGTTTGATTATTGAAGATGTGGTAACAAGTGGGTCTAGCGTACTGGAAACTGCTGAAGTTCTTCGGAAGGAAGGATTAAAAGTCACAGATGCTGTAGTGCTGCTGGACAGGGAGCAGGGGGGGAAGGCCAGGTTAGAAGAACATGGAATTCGCCTACACTCTGTGTGTACATTGTCCGAGATGTTAGATATTCTCCAGCAGCAGGGAGAAGTGGATGTGGAGATGGTTGAGAAGGTGAAGAATTTCATTCAGGGAAACATGTTTGAGCCAGGGGCTCAGAATGGTCCAACTCCAGTGAAAAGAGTCTGTAAAGAGCTGAGCTTCAGGGCTCGTGCTGAGCTGCCCGGGGTGCATCCTGTCGCAGCCAGGCTTTTCACACTCATGGAAAAGAAGCAGACAAACTTGTGCCTTTCTGCAGACGTCACAGGATCCAAAGAACTGCTGCAGTTAGCTGCCAGCCTGGGCCCCAGCATTTGTATCCTAAAGACTCATATAGATATCCTGAATGATTTCACCCAAGAGGTAGTAAAGGAGCTGAGAGCACTCGCAGATCAACACAAGTTCTTGATTTTTGAAGACAGGAAATTTGCAGACATTGGAAACACAGTGAAACATCAGTATGAAGGTGATTATCATCAGCCTTGATGTGCCATAATTTTGCTGCCAGTCTGTGTAACTGCAGCACTGGAACAAGTTGTCAGGAGAGACTGTGGGACGTCTGACCTTGGAGAAAACTTGAGGGGCAAGGCCCTGAGCAACCTGATCTAGTTAGCCCTGCTGAGGGGGCATGACCTCCAGAGGTCCTTTCCAAAGCCTAAATCTTTTAATGAATCTATGCTTGTGCTCAGTAAGTACTTCTGAATGGTTGTTTGCGTGGAGAAGGGTGTGTGTGGTTTCTAAGGCAAGCTTGCTATTGTATGCTTGCATGCTTCTTGTGGCTTTCTTTGTTACTGCATTTGCAACTGCCCAATGCTTTTTCCTCCTTTCTGATACTGTTCTCCTTAAGATCTTGTATACTGTTGCACCTGTGACACAATTTTTAGCTTATGGTAGCTTTGTGACTATGCAGCCATCAGGTTTGTCTGATAAAACTCTGCTGTTAAGGCTGTTAAGCTTCAGTAGTAAAAAGCCTTTTAAAATTGGAATGGTTTATTGCACTGCTTGTTTTGTTTAATTCACGCTTCTTGTTTAATGCATTTCTGACCACTAATTTCACTTTGTCTGGGTCTTTGTATCTATGTTCTTAGGTGGTGTGTTCAAAATAGCATCCTGGTCGGATGTGGTTAATGCACATGTGGTTCCAGGCTCTGGAGTTGTGAAAGGACTGAAGGAAGTGGGCCTTCCCCTGCAGCGTGGCTGCCTTCTGATTGCTGAGATGAGTTCCCAGGGGTCACTTGCAACTGGTGAATACACAAAAGCTGCAGTAAGTCGGCGCTGTTTAAGGTTAACAGCTTGTAAAGTGCTCTGATGGGAGGTTTTGTGTGCTGCTAATATCTACACTCCCAGAAGTCTCTCCAGCTATGTGATGAGTTTTCTTTCTGTGGAAATTCGGGAGAGAGAGTGGCCTTTGAAGGTTGCATCTGTAGGCTAGTGATGTTGGAGTTCATGCTGTGAGTTCTAGTGAACACACCAGGTTTGCCATTGGCCATGTTTTTTTCATTAGCAATGAATATGTAATAAGTAATACACTGAATGAACGTTCACTTATAACTCAGATGTATCTTTTGCAGTCCTATCTGCAAGCTCGGCAATATCAGTGAGGAATGAGTCAGTGCTGGATGACTTTAGATTGGTATTCCATACTCCTGCCCTGCACAGCTTAATTAGAAACAGAATGGTGGGCAAGCTTAATTTTAGATAAATCACTTGATGCAGTTTATTGGTCCTTTATAGGTACAGATGGCTGAAGACAACTCTGATTTTGTTTTTGGATTCATATCTGGATCTAGAGTTAGTAAGAAACCAGAATTTCTTCACTTAACTCCAGGAGTACAGCTGCAATCTGGAGGTAACTTTCCCTGAAATATTTATAGTCTGTTTGTAAACACAGTGAGTGATTTGGGCTTCAGTGGAAAAAGTGACTTCTGAAGGGGATTGGATTATTCGCATCTGGAGAAAGGAGTCTGTGCCATTTCCCTAATATGAGCTGCCTTGTGTATTTCTGGATGTAGTGATCTCTTTCCTGGGAGTTCTGAATGGTAACCAGCATGCCACGCAGTTTCTCTGTTAGATCTTCTTGTACTGAGGTCTGTGTATACCATGAAGTATAGTCCTTAAGCATGTGAAATGTCTGCAGATGGGCATTAGACTAGTCAGTAGGTAGAAAACATTCAGTTAAACACTGAAGTCTAACTGTAATGTGACTGATACTGATATAGATGCAGTATCAATGAATTGAAGTCACCACTTACTAGACTGTTCAGTAGTTATTCAGCTAGGGAAGATGTGTTTCTCTGCAATACTTTGTTCTTACAAAATCTGAAGTAAAATCACAGCTTCTGTGATTGATCTGTGTAATAGGTAGAGGTTCATTAGTTGGAGGCACAGTTTCTAGTCAGTGCTGTGGACTCATAGGGTGAGAACTGCAATAACATAAACTTTCCAGCACCTTTGAAAGTTTTTAGTAGATACAGTTTTGCACAAACTTAAACATACATTTTATCTGTTTCAGGTGATAATCTTGGGCAGAAGTACCTAAGTCCCAAGGAAGTGATTAATGAAAAAGGTTCAGACATTATTATCGTGGGACGCGGCATCTTGTCAGCTTCAGACCGTCTTCAGGAAGCAGAGAAGTACAGGAAGGCAGCTTGGGAGAGCTACATTAGCAGGCTCGGTGTTCATGCGTAAGATTGTATGTAGGTCACCTTCCTAGTAAGTAAGCAATGCTGATGCAGTAGTTAAAATGGAGCTGCATTCATTGTGAGACTTCCACTTACGTATACAGACACTTCAGTCAGCAGAATATTATGCCCTTTTGGAAAAAATCTGTTACTGGCTAAATTATTTTTAATTCCACACAGTTGTACACACCATAATTGTTTCTAAACGTTTTTTAGCATTTGGATGTGTGAGACCAAAATCTTATGTCCAATTGTTAGTCTGAATAGTTTACTGGAAAATGATGAATGAAAACACTCCTAAGATACGCGCTTGGCTGTTGTTGCTACTTTCTCCTCCCATGCCTTAAATTCCTCTGACTGTGGAAACAATGCTTTATTGTTCTTCATTAACTTCACCTGTGACGCTGACCTTGTGTCCCACTCACAGTATTGCTCAGGTCTGCCAGTCCCATGGAGACAGTTATCAGTCTAGATCCCATGCAGTGAAAAGGAATTATATGTTACTTAATGAATTGATTTTGCTTCCCATTTCCTTTAATTGTACCTGTCTTTTTTGTGGCAGTGTGAAATGCTGTTTAATTTTCAGAACCAGGGAGCTATAAAAATAAATCAAGTCTGCTCAGTTTGTGTCTGTAGACGTTGCTCTGGATTCTGTCTGTAGTCTGCTCTGACAAAAGTCTTTGTGCTGTTGAGTGCAAGTGGTGACTGATCTAATGAAAAACAAAGGCATACTTTTGGTTGCTTGACTTTTTCTGAAAATATTTATGGAATACTTCTGGGAATTATTTTCCACACCTCGGAATTATGAAGAAGTGTTACTTTGAAATACCATGTATGAAAGGTTTTGATTAGAAAGGGTGGGATTGCCTCAAATACACCCACTATAGATACAGTGGAAATTGGCTTGAATTTTCATTGCTTACAGGAAAGTGTGAAGAAGGCAGATGAATGGTGGTACAGTTGTAGACCATTGCTGTTCCTGTGCTGATGTAAAACACAGAGAAAACTGGGTCCCTTTTTAAAAAGCCCATAGAATAGGAACAATTATATCCAGTGAGAATTCTTTTGCTTTAATAGTAACCAACTCTTTTCCCAGCCTTTCAAATGAAGAGAACAGGGTTATCCTGAAGTTCAAATGGAGGTTTTTTGCTTCTTGTTTAAGAACAGAAACAGGCTTGGATTTGAGGGCTCTATGGTATGCTTCTTGTATTTGTGACCCTGTGCTCTGCTGGGAGTCAGACTTCAGAAATGTGTGGCTGAAAAGCTTCCTAGTTGTCTGGGTATGCTGAGGTTAATGACCTTATCCTTTTGCATTTCATGTTCCTTGGAAGTGTTTCCCCAGTGCCTCTTACGGAGCTTATAAATGCGTTACTTAGGAGAGGATATTAGAATTTACTCTGCATGTGTTCTGTTTTTCCTTGGTTGGTTCAGGATTCTTCTTAGGTACCACATTAACATGGAGAAGTCCATCCAGGAAAGATGAAGGCTATCCTGGCCACCTTTCACCACTGAATTCAGTGAGTGTGTTGGCTCTTATGAGCTGCCTGCAGTAATCTGGTATTTTGCATCAACTTCCAAGAAGTTTCAGACCTTTAAAGTGGACAGAAGTTTTGGGATTTGTTTACTACTTTTCATTAACAACCTGATGGCCTTGAGGTAGCAGAAGCCGGGTTTCCTCACTTTAACTGCTTTGTAGAAAACTGCTTTGTCCACCAGATGGAGCTGAGACCCTATTTTTCAGGGGAGTCAATGCCCACCCCTTCCATAACTAATAGTTTCTGCTGACGATACCATCTCTAGATATACTTAACTCTAGATATACTTAAGCTTTTCAACAGGTTACTCCCTCACCTGAAGCCACAACTTGACACAGTAGGGTTCAGTAGGCAGAACTGCTTGGGGTGGAGTGGTCACTGCTGGAGCACCATCAGGGTTCTGTGAGTCCGGTGTTTCCCACTAACTGTGCTGAATTGTACCAAGTAAGTGTCTGATATTTGCGCAGCTAAAACCTTGAAAAAGACCCAAGAGCTACTTTATCAGGAGAAAGAAACAGCAACTAAACTGAGAGATTGCCATTGTCTCATAGCTAGTGACCATCTAAGATATTGGAGTAAAGGTTCTGAGCATCAGACTGGAAAGCTTCAGTTCACCATTCTCCACTGTGTGCTCAGTCACAGCAAGTAGTATTCTGGTGCTTCATTTGACACCAGTCAAACATTTCAATTAGCAAAACAAAGTCAAGTTTGCCTCCTCCTACAAGCTTTCTTGTGTCAGAGTGAATATAGCAAACAAGCCTGTGGGCCTCTTTTTTGTGGCACCTGAACATGTTTAAAAATCCATTTCAAATTAAGAACGAACATTAATTTGCTTGCTTCCCCCCCCCGCTTCATTCACAGCATAGTTCCTGCTGTTGGTCCCAACTGCTTCTAACATGGGAACTAGGTCACAATTTACAAAACTCATTTGCATTATAATGTATGAATCTGGAAGTCTTGCAGTTCGTTCTCTGGTCTGATCAAATGTCACAGTTTCAATGTTGTTTTATCAGCCAGTAGTTGACAGCTCATATTTTTGTTTCCATAAACAATTTCATGAACGGTTATTCAAGACATAATTCCAGAAAAAATAAATTAATCACTTCCCCTTAAAAGGATGTGGAAGGCTGTTCCAGTAGGCTTTCAGCAGGCGCCACAAGCATTGCTTTTAGGAAACAGTAAGGACCAAAGGAATGTGCAGTAACCCAGAGGAAGTTTGTTTCCATTTCTGAGTTCCGTAGTCACCAATTTGGGGAAATGTTCTGTTTTGGAAGATTTGTAATTGAACAGACAGACAGGGCTGGGCGTTCTGTTTGTTTCTAATAGCTGTTAGGTCATGGTTGGGCTGTGCCACAGTGATGAGTACAGCTCCATGATCTAACTGCAACAAATTACAGCCCAGTTTGGTGCCTGCTTGAGCTTCAGCTTTCTCTCAGCCCCTTAGGGCAGATTCTTGAAGGCTAATAGCAGTAATCCTGTCTGTGGGTTTGGGCTGACTTACTCCTCATTTGTGATGCTCTGGACGTGTTTCCTGCTTTTTCTCATAAGCTTGTCCATGGTCAGGCTGTGAAAAATGCAGCGTGATGTGAGGAGCTGGCCAGTGCAGAAAGGAGAAGGAAGCCTGATCATTTCTGCTGTGCTGACAGGTATTGTTTTAGATCCAAAGTGAGACATTTCTGTTGTGCAGAGGGCACCACCGCTAATGGAGTGTGCAGTGGAGGTTGTGATTGGCCTTTCCCAACACACAGTCCCAGAAATACCTGCAGTATAAGGAAATACACTGATGAGAGAGCAGGTGAGCCCCCAGGCCAGGGCTGCACAGCAGCCTCCAGCTCTGGCTGCAGGAACACGAGGACCTGATGTTGCAATGGCATCCGGACTCCAATTTGGCCAGACAAATGCTGATGTTTTCCATCACATGTGATCTGCTGCTGCCTTCTGCTTTAGCTTTCATTCAGGAATGCTAGCTGTGGTCAGGCTCTGTATTTAGGGACACAAATAAACTGCTGCTGACTGAAATACACCATTCCCATGACTGAGCTGGGCACTAACTGCTCCAAGGGTAAAGGCAGATGTGCTTATACAGTAAAGTAAAACCTTCCTAGTCTAAGCACCACTTCCTTATGTGTTTTTTTTTAAATGTGCAATCTTATGGAGAAGCCAAACCTGGAAGGAGAGCTGATAAAAACTGGAAACAAGCAATTAACTAGTTGTATAAAGGTTCTGATATTAGAAGAAATACAAAGCAAACTTGATCTAGAAGCCCAACCCTTGCTCTACCCAAACAACTCCTTCATGGTGAGCCTAGCTTCTCTTCCTAGAGCTGCTACTATTGCCTGTGCTCTCAGTTCCAAGCTGATGTTCTGGGAAATGCCACAGCTTGAAGATAGTTTGAAAAAGAAAGACTGGAAAAGGGGGCATGGGCTGGCCTTTCCTTTTTTGTTGCAACTGTAGCAGAGCCGCATTCACACCATTGGCTGGTCCAGGTGGCAAAGCAAGGTCAGAAAGTTGCTGCCCTTCCTTTCTTTCCCACCACTTTTCCTTCCTGCTGCCCTTTCCTTGCCTGGGTCACTTAATGCTTTGTGTGTGGCAATGAAATGAACCAAGCTAAAGCTGATTTATAAGAGACAACCTGTGCCCTATGTAAGATGAGTCTTCTTGGATGTAGAGCTTGGCCTTGTACTTAAGCACCAGGTAGGAAATGCACAGTTAGCACTAGCTTCCCCTGAAGAGCTGCTGTGCTCCTATGAGATTACTGGCTCCTGTAGCCAGCTGGCCACCATAGCAGCTGCTGCTGCCCTTGGCTGTGCTCAGACCTTTCCTATTTCTTGTGAAATTGCAGGGACAGGCACATGCAGAACAGTGGTGCACAGCCATGGTGTGCCTTGGGCAGCTCTGCTCTTCCTGCTCCTGTGCCAACCTCAGCATCATTCTGTACCCCGGAGCATTCGTGCGACTTCAAGCAGCCTTTGCTTGGTCTGATTTGGAGATCATCCAGAGGATTTGCTGGATTCTGAATTAAAAAGTCAAGCGTAAAGACAGCACTGTTTTGGTTTTTGTTCTGTTCTTTTTTAAGGACACCTGATCCCATGCCGACGGTGTGCAACTTGCTGCACTCTTACCAATTCCCATTCTGAGCTATTTTTAGTGGGGTTTGTTGTGTTCCTGCAGTGCTACTGGCAGGAGGAGGGGGCCCATAATCTTCTCGAAGGAGAGCTGTTTGTACGGAGCAAGTAGGAGCTCCTGTTTATAGAGGCAAAAACAAATACATTAAAAAAAAAATCCGGAAGGATGGGTTCATGGCTGTTTTCCAGTGAGAAAAGCAAGTCAAAACAACAAGCACCATTTGTTTTTGCTTTTCCCTGGCAAGCTTCCTTCAGCTGACTATTGCATGGTCTGTTCAGGGTAAAGAGACAAGGAAAAAAAAAAGAAAAAGCAAAGCAGTAGCTCTGGCTTCTCTCTGGCCTTCTGCTGCAGTCCCAAGGCAGAGCTTGGAGGGGTTTAATGCTGCAGCTGTCATCTGGGGTAACTTAAACCTCAGCTCCAGAGGAAAACATGGGGTGGGGGAACATTTCGGGGGGGGAAAACAACACTAGATTCAACCAGCAACCTATCTGGATCTTCCAGCTCTATTCTGTGTTAAAACCTCAGCTGTGCAGCCCTCAAAGGCTGTTGTGAGGCTGGCACGCTGTGCTGGCAGCTGCCAGCCTACAGGCTGCATGCCTGCTTGTGAAGCCCCAGGAGTGGTGCTTGCTGTTTAACATTTCCTCTGACCAAACTCCCATGTCCCTGGGGCTTCCCCCAGCCTCCCTGCTGTTTAAACAACACCACACAAAACATGAACTGCTTCTGGCAGTCACCGCCCTCAGTCAACACTACAGCATTAAGTGAACATACCTTGTGCAGTGTCACCACAGCTCCTGGCTGCAGTGCTTGGGCTGATAAGACACTGCTGATAAAGAAAGAAGGCAGCACATGCTGTGCTGGCAGCAGAATGCGTCTCAGGTCAGTCAATCTGTTGGTGTGGGGCTCATTAAGCTCAACAAACTCCACTTGCAGCATCATATATGCACAATAGTTTTATTTTGTTTTTATATAAAAAAAAAAAAATCTAAAGACTGCAGAACTCATGTATCCTAATTTCTTACACAAATGCTTCCAACACCCTCCTCTTTTTAAGCTAATTCCCCCCTCCCAACCTGCAATGCCGTGACTTCCCCTGATTTTGGCCTACTCACCCTTTATAGTGGGATGGGATATGTCTAAAGCTGCAATGTGGCACTTGGTTCTCTTCGTTGGCAGGTTTCATAGATCCAGAAACCTGGGCTGTGGAGTCACAGGGCTCAGAATCCACAAGCACAAGTGGTGAGCCTGCCATGGCATCGGCATGTCCCAGATCAGACAGCACACGCTGCTTTTCTCCTTACTGTGCAAATAACAGGCTCGTGTCATCGACCAGTCCTGTTGTAAAGTATTTTCTTCCCTGAAGAGGATCCCGTCTTCAAGTTGAGAAGCAGCAAATACAGTCAAGCAATTGTCCACAGCGGTCCCTCGTGCTGAGACCTGATCAGTCAACTGTACCGTTGTAAGATTTGTTGAGCTTGTTGAACGTGAACTCTACATTATGTGTAGAAATGGGCTTTCGGTAGAGAGGATTGGATGCCTTTGGGAAAATGGATAAAGAAGAAAGGTAAGGAACAAAATCTGTGTCATGGCAAAGCTGTGTGTAATCTCACAGAGTCATAGAATGGTTGGTTGTGAAGGGTTCTCAATGCCTATCTGGTTCCTTGGCTAGGATCACCTCCCAGTAGACCAATTTGCTGCAAGCCTCATCCAACCCAGAGCACCTCTGGGTGTGGGACATGCACAGCTCTCTGGACAGCCTCTTCCATCCTCCCCTTTCTGCTCTACATGTAACTACGGATTTGGCTTTGATAGGCCCTACCCAACGTCCCATCTGATGCCCTGAAATGCTGAGCAACCCTATGGCCAGGAAGCCTCCCCAGAATGCTTCCTCATAGACCTGTCCACCTGATGTTCCCAAAAGCACAGCACACACCTTCATCTCTCTGTTTTCCATTACTGCAGTTGTTTGCTGCATTGCCAAGGGCCCACCCAGCAGCCCCCCAGTGCTCACCATTTCATATCTCGCCCGGGTGCGTTCGCTCTGGAATCGGTCAAACTCCCTCCTGTCATGAATGGTGACAAGCAGCTTCCAGAGACCCAGCAGGATGGTGCCAATCAGCACCACGCTGCCAATGACAGCCAGCACGATGGTCACAGCACTGGGGGCTGAGCTGCATGCTGGAAAGGAGGGGGAGAAGGAAATCAGCTCTGGCCCAGGTGCATCCCAGATCAGGGTAACAGGAGCGCAGCTGAGCAAGTGGCTTTGGGGGCAGCACTGGCAGCAAGGACTGAATTAAAAAAAAACAACAGTAGTCCTCTCCATAAAGGAAGGGATCTTAACTGCCTTAACTTAATCAACTGGTCTTTCAATTAAGTGCAAGCTGCAGCCTCAATGAAATAAAATGTGCCTCCCTTGGGACTTCCCATTCTGGCCTGTGTCCTCAAGAGGACCCAAGCAGAGCATGACAAACTCTCACTGGGTGTTTGCCAGCTCTTCCTGCAATGCCACATGGGGTTTCCTCTGAGAAACATGCTCTGCATGGGATGAAAGCAATACGCAGGGGACAGATGTTCCGGGGGGGCTGGGACACAGGGACTGCACTGCTGGGAACAGAGCTGGTTAATGGAAAAGCAGAAATCCACAGGACTTGTGGGGGTATGCCTAGCAGCCTCACTTTAGAGCAGTAGCAGTGGTTTTCCCACCTCATGTTTCTCCTCCCAGTGGCTCTGTCTCCAAACCAGGGCATGGCATACTTGCTGCTTCCTGAGCAGGCTGTATTTAATTTCAGCAACCTGATCTGGCAGAAAGCTCTTGGGCCACCTGCTAGTAACGCTGGCAGCTCAGGTGCACGTCACACTCTTAGAAGCCTTTCATTAACCACACTGGAAGCACCTGGCTCTGTGTTTCAGCCCTGTTCAATCAGCTCAGTTCTTTTGCACCTGTGTGCAGCCTTGTCACCTCTCATGCTGTCAGCAAGGAAAATGAAGGAGGCACAAACCTGGCTCCTTGAGGACGGTGAGGTTGGACTTCCCATTGGCAAGCTCCGAGTAGGTGAACTTCATGACACAGTTGTTCACCGGGTAGGCACACAGGATTGCGTTGGGGTCATCCGTTTCTGAAATAATAAGGGCAACTTGGTGACTTGCACAGCACACCCAATATGTCAAAGCACCTTCATTCTCAGCCAGGTGCTTCGGAGAGGTTCGTTTCCACCCAGAGGCCCAGCATCAGAGCCAGCCCCAGCTATTCAGGAGCCCTGTCATGCTGGGGATTGTGCATTCCTTCCCATACAAGGGGCTTCCTGTCCTACATATGGTGCACATTATGGCCCAGCCCCAGCAGTGGGGAGAGCTGAAACAGCATCACGTGGGGGAAGGGAGAATGCAAAGCATTAGGAAAAGCCTAAAAGCCTCCACCATGGTACCTTTGCTTTGCAGCTGCCCCTGGTCCTGCTGCAAGGCACTCTGTCTGAGAGTGGCTGATGGAACAAGGAAATGGTCTGAGCAAAATGGGGAATTAGCAAGGTGAGCACCCTAGGAATGGAGGAACACAGAGAACAAAAACTGCCCCTGGAAATCATCAGCACACTTTGATTTTGCTTCATGTGAAAGTGGAGATGGGGTGGCTGCAAGAAAGGAGATAAATTAATTCCCAGAGATGTGTGCCTTCAGCCCTTCCTGCACTGCCCCACTCCTGGAAACATCCCCTGCAGGGCAGCACCTCCAGCCATGCCAGGGAGCCCTGTAGAGCACCTCTTGCCTTTATGGGATAGCATTTCCAAGAAAGGCATCTGGGCCACTTTGTCCTATTGGTCTTCAAGACACAGCTGAGGTTCTGGCACCTGGAAAATACCCTGCTTGTCACTAGCATCTGTATCTGTCACACTGAGAAATGATGGCATTAATGACCACCGCTATCCCAGCCCTTTCTCCCTTCTATTTATCTTTCCTATCTTTCTCCCTTCTGTTTGTCTTTCCTTTCAATGCCTTTGACCTGCCTTCAGCAGGGAGATTAATACCCTCCATTTCAACAGCTTGGAGCCCAGTGGACTCACTGCTGCAGACAGCCTTCAGCTGCTCCTGCCTCAGGACATAAACATCCACTCTACCTGCACCTGTGGCACCAAAGGCAGGGCTGGAGATTAATTACGTCAGTTAGGTTGATACAGATAACACTTGTGAGTTTCTTGACTAATGCCCCTATATGCTATCGAGCAGATAACTTGGCTCCTTCAGGCCCCACTGCTTCCAGCCCCAGCCTTGCACCAATATTCTGCTAAGAGATAGAGCAATTAAAGTTTCAATAGTAACAACTCTTGTTGGCCTTTACTAGGTGTCAGAGTGTTGGAACAGGCCGCTCAGGAAAGTGGTAGAGTTGTCATCCCTGGTGATATTTAAGAGCAGTGTGGATGTGGTGCTTAGGGACATGGTTTAGTCATGGACTTGTATAGTTAGGTAGTAGTTGGATTTGCTGCTCTTAAGGGTCTTCTGACTAAATGGTTCCATGGTTCTGTGGTTCAAGCCCATAGCCAGAAGGCACCTAGGACATCCCAGCATTGCTCACTGCTCCACTGCTGTGACAGTGCAAACCTGTGTCTTCTTTCTGCCGGTGATGAATACCAGCATTCAGCCTTTCAGCAGGGATTTCTAACACATGCTGCATCACAGAAACACTTGAGGATGAGGATTTGGCTGGGTCTGCCTGTGAGTCCCTGTGCACTTTCTCTAGGAATATTTTGCAGCCCAGATTTCCAAGTTCTGAGCTCTCAAATCTCAGCACCACCCAGGATCAGACTGTGGCAGCACAACAGAAGAACAAGTATAATTCCCCAACACATCTTAAAACAGAGATTTGGCTGTTTTCCTCTGAAAGCAGCAGGGGATTGGCCAACCACAGCCCAGTCTCACCTCCCAGAGTGCAGCCAGCAGGAAGGCTAGCTCTGGAGTTGTGCAATAGACAGGCAGAGGAGTTAAGATTTAATCCCCTGTATGTGCTGGCTTCTTAGAAACATGGGGCAGCCGGGCATCAGAAAGGAGCTTCATTTAAGATGGCGTTGTAACCTCTCACAGTGCGCTGGGACAGGTTCACTCCCCAGCAAGCTGCAGTGAGGATGGGGAGAGCAAGAGCAAGCCCCACAAAAGAGAAGGTAGGAAACCATACTGGTTGTTAACTGAGAGAAAGAATGAGCAAGGTAGAGCACTTGTATACCCTATGAACTATGGAAGAGAAGTAAGAAATGTCAGACACGGATGGCCATCCCTACTTGATCCAGAAGCACTGGCCTCTCTGCCCCAACTCCAAGGGCTGTTGACAAGGTCAAGGTCAGGATTGAGACTGAAGCTTTCACTGTTTCAGTCTCCTTCATCCTGTAAAAGAGTAACTAGGGACTGCCAGAGTGAAGCTTGAAAAGAAGGGGGAAAAAGTATCTGTTGAGGGACGTGGTGTGGAATGACCTTCAGAAGAGGACACAACGAGCAGGACAGGGGATACTTCTTCCTAGATGAATTCTCAGGGAGATTAGAGAATGCCTTTTTTGGGAGACATTTTGTCCCTTTACACTCTCTCACAGCTCATCTAATCTCTCCTGTCTCCTGATCTTATCCTGCTCTCTTGCAATGACCACAGCGGGCCTTACACACACCAACCCTGGACCTGCTCAGGTGTGGTGAAGAAACAAATTTTTTGGACAGGCCTGGGCAGACTTCATGTAGCTGTGAGCTCAGAAAGGCAGTCACAGCTGCACATAGCAAATGCATGCCCAGAGGGATGTACTAATGGCTAACCTTACAGCAATTAGCGTCTCACGTCTACAACAATCCATATGTCCAATTCATAAAACTCATTATTTCTTTCAAATTTTTTCTAAATGACTTCATTAAATGAAATTAACATGCTTCCTTCCAAAAGGCAATGAGGAAACATTATGTATGGCTGCTTGAATCCAGATTTTAAGATGCTATTTAAATTCAAGGATATTTTACTTAGCATTGAGACTATAGCTAATCCAGAAATACAAACACAACACCAATTGAGTTGCTAACAAATGCTCAAAGCAATACAAACTACAGCCTACATAAAGGGTCATACATTATGCTTTCTAAATACTATTTAGAAACCTGAGGCTTTCCTTACAGATATGCCTTGGTCTTGCTGAGAGCAGTTGGTTACTGGGTACTGCTTGCTGGGCCTGGAGCATCAGTCTTAAGGGGAGTGGGTGAGGGAATGGGATTATTCAGGTTGAAGAAGAGGAGGCTCTCTACAACTCTCAGAAAGCAGACTATGCCATGGTGGGGCATACCTCTTCTCCCAGGTAACAGTGATAGGATGAGCGGTAATTGCCTAATATTGCACCAAGGGAGGTTTGGGTTGGAAATTATGAAAAATTTCTTCTCCAAAAGAGTGGTGATGCAGTGGCACAGGCTGCTCAGGGAGATGATGGAGGTGTCCCTGAAGGTGTTCAAGAACCATGGAGATGTGGCACCTGGGGACATGGTTAATGTGCACGGTAAGGATGATTTGACAGTTGTGATAGCTGAACTAGATCACCTTTGTGTTTTTTTTTCCAACCTTAATGATTCTATGATTCAGCTGTGTACTTACTGAGAACATCCACAGTGGTGATGAGCTCATCCTTGCAGTGCTTTTGGCAGGTTTGGTTATCCAGTCTTCCTGAGTTAAACAGCTTGCATTCAATGCAGTCCCTTCAGAAAGACACAAAGAGAGAAAGACTGAGTACAGAAAGAGGGTGGGAAAGAGAAGCTTCAGGGTCAACCATTTTCATTACAAGGATGGATTTGTTTCAAAGGTGGATTCAGTGAAGAATAGTCTCCAGCTGTAGGTCTAGAGATTGTTTGCCCTTTGGATGTAGGAAGCTGCATATCAGTTACTGCAAAATCCCTCCTGTCTATGATCAAGGCAGAAGCGTGGCCAGATGCTGGTGTCCAGGACACGTCCTCTGCAAAGTGTCAGCCAGCCCTTTCTTTACATCTCACAGCTACTTGAGCCCAGAAATGTTCAGCTCAGCAAATCTGGGCTGCCAGCCTACAGAGCAGAGCAGCACTAAAATGAAAGGGGCCATGAACGTCCGTGAGAACGTGGACAGCAACACTTGTTGCTCTATGCATATACTCAGTGCCTGCAACACTGTCATTGGAGAGGTGACAGTACAAACCCAGCTGGCCAGGATGCTAGGGACCTTGTCTACCTGGGTGGGCAGGAATCTGCCAGGAACCAAAGAATCCCTCTCCCCTCATCGAGAAGTCTCTCCTGAAGCCCCACGCGTACCTTTTGGTGCTGCAGACCCCTGGGCAGGTGGGACACTTCTCACAGGTCTCCCCGAACGCCCCAGGCTCGGTGCACTGGCACCTCCCACAGATGCAGTTGCCGCGGCCGCTGCACATCTGCCCATCGCTGGAGACGCAGCCGGCGGTCTCGGTGGAACAGTTGCAGTTGTCCCCGATGTAGCCCGTGTGGCACTTGCACTCCCCACAGTGACACTCCCCATGGCCTAGGGGACAGAGCAGCGAGAAGGTCATCATCAGTGACCAGAGAAGTGCTGTGTGACACTGGTGTCTCTGTGAGGGTCCTCCCCTGCCAGAGCATCCCCTTGCAGAGCTGGCATTAAGGGCCAGCCTGAGAAAATCAACAGGCTTAAAGGCTTTCAATTACAGTAAGTGCCATGGCTGCCTGCCCAGCAGCTGGTTTTGGAACAGCATCCATCAGCTCACTGGAAATACTGCTTGAATTCCTCTGTGGTTGATCCTGAGCAGCCTGATGCAAAAGCATCAAAAGGATGCTTTTGAAGGCGTGATTTCTCCACAAGGCTCATCAGCAACCTAATTACAGCTCAGCTTTCCCGCTGGAAACAGCCTCAAGTAGCTGAGAGAAGATAAACTATATACATGCTCTTCTCATCAGCACTAAACCACTGATAACTCTGCTTCTCCCATCATCCTGAGAACACCAGAGGGACCATGAAGCATCAAGCTGTGCCCCTTGCCAGAAGTCCTGGGAGCACCTTCTGCTCTGTGGGTTTCTTGTTCATCCCAGCAGCCTCTTTTGTGCTCCTACCGTTTGCTTTGGAGCCAACCTTTATGCTCAGCATTACTAGAGGGAGGAGCCTGTGTTTATAAGACCTATGAAGGTTACTTCCTCTGCCTAAATCTGATGCGTTCACACCACCCAAAGTCCTGTCTGGAGAGCTAGGAAAAGCAGCCCTGCATCATTAACTTCAGCTCAATCCCCTTGGATACCACAGAGCCCAGCACAAGATGCAAATCTGCAAGAAATCCACCTCTAGAAGTCTTGCTGCTCATGAAATTGTTCAGCAGTTGGTGCCAGGTCAGTCCAGGAGGGCAGAGATCCTATGCATCCCTTCCAGCACTGGGGTGCTGAAATGGAGCCTGACAGACTGAGACGGGGAAGGGAAACAACTGCTTCCAAATTTGTATCCTATTCTAGCACTGCAACCAGAAAAATGAAGAAACAGCCTCTTGGAGAAAATGGCTTTGGTTTCTGCAGTAGAGCAGCCTTTCTATATGAAGGTGACTAAGCTTGGGTCGTGAGCCTGAAATTCAAAAATATGTTGACATGTGTTTTCTGCCTGGCCACACTGGTTAAAAGTGCAAGAAGCTCGCCATGGGGAACAAGCCAAGAGTGGGAATTTCCATGTTGACCTTTAGCAGCAAAGACATTACCATCTGCCTGCACCAGCCTGAAAGAGCAGCCACTTTTTTGAGCACTGAGAGCTCCATTTGTGGTGCTCCGAATCTCCCATCCAGCATGGCCTGAAGGCTAGGTGGGACACATTTATGCCTCATGGGGGCATAGCAGGAGCAGATCTGCTTCTCAAAGTACACCCAGAGCCCCGGAGATGGGAATTCACTCCCAAGATGAACCCTGCTTCCCAGATTCATTTTTGAGAAGAAAACACAGCCAGACTACTGAGGAGGGTGTGCTCCAGGCCCCCCCCTGCTCCTGCAGCACACACTGTGCAGGACATCAGCACAGCCTTTAACCATTTGGATTTGCATGGTCTCTATTAGAGCAGTTTTGCGAAGCCAAAATACATTCATGATGTGCTCCAAACATAACAAGATGTTTTCTGCTGTTCCCATCCTTGAAATGAGAGGATGTGAGACATTTAAAAGATCCCCATCTAGCTGGGAAATGACAAGCTCCCTCTGACTTTGGTAATGTACTTACCAGTAAACCTTTAATTGTTAGGGGTAATACCTTCCAAATTCTGTGCACCTGCTGTTGTCATTTTTGACCTTATACCTGCATGACTGCTCTAAAAAGAAAAGAACAACCAACAATACCACAACAAAACAAGAGGAGAGCTGGGGCAGGACCCGGTTAAAATGCAAGCATGTCCAAGCAATGCAGCCTCACCAGCGCAATCCCTTACACAGAGTGCTGAGCCCTGACCGCTGCTCCTGCTGCTCTATGTGTTGTTTGCATTCCCCAGAGTTGAAGGCACCAAAAATATCTGCCTACAGCGGAGGGAGCAGCCAAAGCCCAGACATGAGGCACTGATGGACCGGCCCTGTTGTGCGAGTGCAGGATTGGAGCTTCTGGTCCTGCACAGTTTGCATGGGTGGGAGAAGGACAGCAGAAGAGGCTGGGAGAGTCTGGAAACTTTCCGTTTGGGAAAGGGTTCTGGTACGACGCAGTGCCTGCTTAAGCAAATAAATCATCTGGATTGCCACTAATCTCTTTCCATGACTCAAAGGAGCCGTAGGCTGATGAGCACTGCACTGCCAGATGCTTGGCACTGGCGGGCAGGGAGGACTCAGGAAAGTTAATGAAGTGGGGATGGGAAGTGTTCCCTTGTCCTGCAGGAGCACCCCAGCCCAGTGTCCTTGCTGCAAAAGGGCACTGAAGTCTCTGTGTAAACTGCAATGTGTCCACCGACTGCCTCTACTCGTGCCAGAAGAGCACTCGCCCATGCTCATCTACCCACAGCACAGCACTGAAACAACAAACCAAGCACTAAAAGGCAGATAACAGGGAAAAAGACCTTTTCTGTACGCTAATTACACAAGACACCACAGACTTGTGCATCCTGCCACTGCATTAATGTGAGCAGATATTTATATCTCAAAGCATAGGAGTTTTGGCCATGAATCGAAGAGGCTTTAAATAATACTTTACTCAACCCTAGCACTGGCAGAGCTCACAGTTCCACCACTGAAAATAGCATCAGCAACGCAGACCAATAAAAGCACAACTGGAAGAAGAAATCCATGCCTGAGCTGTGACTTCAGCCCTGGGCAACACGAGCTGCATCACCAACTCCATGTTACCATCAACATCCCAATGACAAAAGTCCTCACCCCCCTCATCCTTCCCATTTCTCCCTCACTTGGGAGCTTTTGGGTTAAACAGGAACTGGGCAGGGAGCTCAGGGCTCTGGGAACTGCACGCTCACTTTGGTGAGCTGGGGCAGAGCGGATTTCCTGCAGAGCCCTGCCAGCCTTCCCTCATCTTCCTCCTCTCCCTTGCAGAAGTGCAACTGAAATGTAGTCACAAGATGAGTCCTTGCTGCCCATTTTGGCTTTTTGACGTATCATTTCCTGCATTTCTTAAAATAAAGCCTTTTTTTTTTTTTTTTTTTTTTTTCTGGTTAAGAAATCTCAGCGTTCCACAAATTTCCTGACTTTTGCTTACATGAGCTCCTCAGCCCCATGTGGCTTTCTGGAAGGGGACCCATAGCTGGGAATTCGGAGCTTTCAGGTTCCACTGCTGACTCTGCTACAGCTACCAGGAGTGGTGTGGGGCTGCCAGAACTGAAGGGATGAAACTGGGATGGGTGTCGTGGTTCCAGTACTGCTCTGGGTTGAAGTAACCCAGCCAAACTGAGTACATGCTTATCCATGGCTTCATCACCTCTTAGGAGCTTGGCATGGGAGGCATTGCAAAAACAATTCCTGATAATTCCTATTACCAAAGCTTCCTTGCTGCAAGTAATGATCCATGGACCCACAACCAGGAGCTTCTCCCCCGCTTATAGAATCCTTTGAGTTGAAAGGGACCCTTCAAGGCCATCTGGTCCAACCCCCCAGCAATGAGGAGGGACACCTACAGCTCAACCAGGTGCTCAGAGCCCCATCCAGCCTGACATTGAGTGTCATCGGGGACAGGGCATCCATCACCCCCACTTCCATACTCCTTGATCCATCTCTGCAGGAGCAGCATGGCAGGTCAGCAGGGATGGATTTCAGAAAGCACACGTAAAAAAAACACCTAGTTCCCTTAGATTTATTCTTAAAATAAAGCCTGGCTCCAAAACAAAGCTGCAGGATCCCAAATGCCTGAACTCTAGGGTCAAATTCTATGGTTCAAGCCCATCCTTAAAATGAAAAGCAGGCTAACTCCCAGCCTACCGAGGAACAAATGTGCTGAATGTCCTTTCAGCTGGACCTCATTACAAGGAGTGGTCCCCAGAGCAAAGAGACATTCTTTCACTGCAGAATCCAGTGCTGCGGGAGCCTTGCCCAATTCCGCATTTGGATTCAAACACATAATCTGGTGCAAGTTCACCAAAGGTCCATGGTTTGGGGATGGATTTCTCCCTTCCCAAAGAAGCTGAAAGAAGTCAGAATTTCATTCAAAATAAGATATAGGAAAAGAGAAAGAATCCACAGCTGCGCAGCACTCTTAGGTCTCATGTTTGGAATTCTAAAGTGAGCAAAATTCAGGGGCTGTCTGTGCATGCCAATAAGAAACACAATTTCATTCACCTGCTTGCTTTAGACTGTTAGCTTCTCAACCCAAAACACAGCATTCATTTCCAACCACTTCTTTCTGTTAATTAGTGTAATCAGAAAGGTCAAATCCAGGCACCAAAGGAACCAGCCATAAAGGCAAAGCATTCAGGCAAGACCACCCCACACCATCATCTCCCTTTGAGGAGCACATGCTCAGCATAGCTTGCTTTCCAAGTCTGTATCATTCATATTTTGGGGGCTTTCTGGAGTTTGTAGTCTGTGGAGCAGCTGCACCTGCACATGGGGTCAGGCTGTGCCATCAGATGACACTTCTTGCTGCTGCTTTAAGAGAGACCCCAGGCAGAGCTCTGGCTCCCACAAAGATGTAGTAAGCGTCACTGCTGTATTCTTTTAATTCTGCCATGGCATTTAATGCCTCATTAGCATGCATTAATGGTTGCAAAAGGCCTGTTCGAGGGCAAGGAGAAACACCAAGTGAAAAGCGGTTGGAACAGCAGCACTCTGTGCAGTCAAGTCCTTGAAGGGATCCCTGCCAGGGTTGGGGAGGACTGCAACAGCACTGAGGGCCTGGGCGGGGGGAAAGGAGGGGTAAGAAAAGCTGGCATTTTGCTCCTGTGCATGGAATGGGACTTTTGGAGAAACAGAGCTCAATCCATCAAGGACAAAACCCCAAATCCGTCAGTTTCTGATGGCTTCTCCCAGGCTGTAACTGTTTGGGGCTGACAAAACTGGCCCAAGCCCTTCTGCAAGCATCACAACAGATGGGGTTGGAAACAGAAAAATCCCTAAGCGAGTGCCCAGCACACATATAGGTGACACATATGAGTGTTCCCCAAGCACATATTGTCCTTGGTAAATCCCCCCGCACTGCTGGAGCACAGGCTTGGGGAGATCCTTAAGGATCCAGCCCAGACCTGGCACCTAAGGGAGAAGTCCAGGGTGAGAGGAGGAGGTACCTTTTGGTTTGTGCAAAAGGGAAAAGAGCTCCTAGGAGGGGAAGGCAGGAGCTGAGTGCAAGTTCCTTATGCTATTTTAGGTCTTCAGCTCTCTACCTTTGGCATGGAGCAGGATGGGAAAGGCATACACTCGAAGGAACACAGCACACATCTCAGCAGTGCGTTGCAGAGAGTGGAACAGAAACCAGGTTTAAAAAGAAATAAATACAGAGAGGAAGCAGAAGAGAAAGGCTGGGGAAGGGTGGAGAAAGAGTGAGATTTCAGGAGACTCATGGGGATGCTCCCTCTCACCTGCAAGGGCCACCACAAATTTGCATGCCCTTCCAGTCCTTCCCAATTGCCCAGCAGCACGGGGAGGAGCAGAAGGAATCCTCTTAATCCCTCCAGCCCCAAGCCCTGCTGCCCTGGACCTTACATCTCTCCAGGCTGCCCCACATGATGGAAGCAAACAGAGCTGACCTGATGACCCCTAATTTCTTCACGCTAAGCCATGCGATGAGAGCAAACGGAACATGCCCAGCTTAGCGGCTTAACCCAGAGAAAGGAGGAGAGCAGAGGAGGCCCCCCAGTTGGGTTTGGCTTATTACAAAATGTCTGCAGTGTCTACACAATTTCACATCAAAGCCAAAACATTTCATGGGCAGAGAGCTTCCACCTGGTGATGCATATGGGCTAGGACTGGAAAGGTACACCACAAACCAGAGGTTTCCTTTTTCCTCACTCAGGCAGAGGATCTCAAGATGCCTGAACCACATCTGCTGGTTGCTGAGAAGTAGTAATGGGCACACAGTACTTACTTCTGCCCAAGATGGGGAGGATGCAAACAGGGAAAGAAAAGAGACACAGCCCTGTAACACTAACAACAAAAGAAATCTTTCTGCATTTCCAGGCAGTGATGTACACCTGCACTCAGATTCTGCATTCTCACTCAAGCCCCCAATTTTATTTTTTTTTTTTTAAATTGCCCAAATAAAAAAGAAACAAAAAAAACCCAAAGATAGCAAAACTTGACATGACAGAAAAGAAAAACACAGCAGATGTGGTTTAAGCTCTGTTCCCTCTTTCTTTCACAGAGCATCCTTTTCCCTTCGGGGCTATCCACCACCTGCTGTGCATGGCAGGGCAGCCAAGCAGCCAAAGCTGCAGGCACAGGGAAGTTCCCCTCCCCCTCCCCAACCACACTCAGCTACCACCACCACGTCTGGAGCCACCCAGCACTGCCCACTTCTTTCTTAATAAAACACAGCAGATTCTGGTAAAAGCTGGTGTGGTAGGAATGAAGATTGCGGAGATGAAAAAAGAAATAGTTACAACTGGGTTCCTTCTGTTCCTGCATCTGAGACCTTCCCTGGCACACTAGCACTGGTGCAAGCAGACAGATGATGACTTCAGAAGTAAGTGGGGAAAAAGGTCTGCTTTCAGGCCAAGTGTGTCAGCCTGTAGGAATTAGTACAGTAAGAGGCTACATCACAAGGCAGAAATCACAAGGCAGAGATGCCAGTGGTGCAAGTAGATGAGCACTGCCCTCAAAGCACAGGACTAGCATGTTCTGTGTCTCTTGCACAACCAGAAACTGCAGCACCGGCACTGAGCAGCATCTTCCCATGAGAGCCAGCACAAGGATGTTGCTGCTGAACCCAGATGCGGCGCCTGCAACCAGGAAATCCTAGAACAAATTGCAGAAGCAGGAGTGCGATTTCTAATGTGAGGCTGTAGCAAAACAAACAAAAGCCTTATGTCACTGTGTGCCAGCACCGGCCAAAAACCCAGAGTTCTTCCCCATTTAGCAGACCAAGGAAAGGGAAGCAGTCAGATATAACTATGGAGGCCATGAAAGATTTGCACACCCTCAGCAGTTTTTGAAGCTTTTCAGTTTCCGCAAGGCACTTGGAGGTCTACGTAGATAGAGTCTCTGTGCAACAAACCACGGGTTTTTGGTTGAGTTGCCATTTCCTAAATCCCTTTTCAGAAGTGGTTTTGGGTGGCAAATCTGACACCCTATTGCTGATGTTAGCTTTTTGCATCAGCAGTGGTGAAGACAAGGAAATTTCTGTAGACACACTGAAATAAAAGAGATGCTGTACTACTTACACCCCCTACAAATACGGGTCTGAGCACTGCAGCTAACAAAGCGTAGCTTCCAGAGAACCAGTCCTGCTTCATTAGTGGCCAATGCATGATGCTCTTACCAAGGCCTCTCTTCCCTCTTACTAACTCATTTTATAGGACCTTTAGGAATGCAATTAGCACTGAGATGTTTCCTCTTTTGTCAGATCTGCTGGAAGGCAGCCAAGAGGTCCAAAAGCCATGGAGATGCACAGTGATCTGCAAATTCCTGAGCTGGGCTCCAGGCAGGGAGGCAGGCAGTGAGCAGAGGGCTCTGTCTCTCCATGGCAGCCATCCAAACTGTCTAGGAAAGGCCAGACCCTGTGCTGAAGCTCCCAACATGATGAACAGCTGTATGTAGTCTTCAGAAACTCTTCTGTCCTCTCTTTCTTCAGAAAAGCTGACTCCACCATGGCTACTTCTTCCAGAGACCTGCTGCTCTTTAGGTGCAGTTTGGAGCACACCCCACACCAACTGCTGTGCAAGCTCAGGCACTTTTGGTGGGCTGGAGAAGTCCTAAGCCTCTTGGGCTGAGAAAACTTACTCAATAGGTTGGAATTCAGAAGAAAAAAGGCTACAAAACAATAAAATACCAGGAGGCATGGTGAGAACTGCCCCACCAGTCTATCCCTGGAGCTGCTTGGCCTCAGCCTCCGCTTTGTTTTCTTTCACAGCTTTAAAAAAAAAAAAACAACACTTTTCAATGACTCTCAGACTGGCACATCCCAAACCAGCTCTGCCCTTCTTCCCACCACCAGCAGCCCTCCGCTAGGTGCAACAGAAGACACGTGACTTGCCACGGTGCTGTTTCCAGTTGCTGCCAAAAGCCAGAGGATTGCCATTCCCATATGCAGACAGTGCCCCAACAGCCCCAACTTGCCTACCAACACAACAGTCTCCAATGGCCCAGGGAGTGGCAGTCACTGTCTTTGGAGATGTTCAAGAACCATGGAGATGTGGCACATGATAGACATGGTTAGCAGGCAAGGTGGGTATGGGCTGGAGTTGGATTTGGTGATCTTAGTGATCTTCTCCAAATTTAGTATTCCTATGATTCTATAAATGCACTACCCAGGCGTAGCTCATCACTTACTCAGAAGCCTGCAGGATTAGGCATAGTGGGGAAAAATCCCTCCACTTCTCCAAAGAACAGTGAAAAACAGCTGCTTTTCTGAACTTACTCTACCAACAGGAGAGCTAACGCAAACCTGCACAGCATTTTGGAAATTTGGTGTGAGATTTTCACTTGAGGAAATATTTCACTTGGAAAACAAAGAAGTTTTGAAGAATAACATTTTACCCAGCTTCAGGTGAAAGAGTTATGTCTTAGGGTTGATCCAGGCAACGTGTGCAAGATAAATTACATGACCTCAGGCTGAAAAGGAATTAAAGGAATTGCTATTTTAGCAAACACTGCTAAATAGCTCCTCCACCTTTGATGAAGCAAAACACACTGGCTAAATCTTGACCAGTGGATGATTTGTTTTCCCAGCAGGTAGAAAAATCTGCATTAAAGTCTCTTTAGGAATCTCCAACACAGATTTTCTCTAATGAGTAACAAACCAAAACTCAACCTTTCCTTTCCCCTGCCATGTACCAGGGGATTGCTTCAAACGTGTTACCTTTAAAAAAAGATGGTTTCTATGTGGGCACATGGCATAAGTGGAGAAATGCAATTTAAGAAGGCAAGAAACAGCTTGGGAGAATCCAAGCCTGTGATTGTTGTAATAGAATCACAGATTGGTTGGGTTGGAGGGGACCTTAAAACCCACCAGTCCCAGCCCCCTGCCATGGGCTGGTTGCCACTCTCCATCTCAGGCTGCACACCTGGCCTTGAGCACCTCCAGGGACCCACAGCGTTCTGGGCAGCCTGTGCCAATGTCTCACCTCTGAGTAAAAAGTATCTTCCTCACATCTAACCTAAATCTCACTTCTTTTAGCTTAAGGTCATTCCCCCTTGTCCTGTCACACTATCGGACCATGTAAAAAGTCACCTTCCCTTTAGTTTATAAGGTCCTCTAAGTACAGGAAAGTCACAATGAGGTCTTCTCTGAGCCTTTTCTTCTCCAGGCGGAACAAACCCAGTTCTCCCCATCTTTCTCAGCAGGAGAACTACTCCAACCCTCAGAGCATCCTCATGGCCTCCTCTGGACCTGCTCCAACAACCCTGCATCTTTCTTGTGCTGGACACAGTACTCCAGATGAGGCCTCATGAGGACTACACTAAGGCTGCACATCAGCAAATACGCTCCCAAACAATCAACACCAAATCTGCAACTTTGCAGCCCGGGCAAAACAGAGAGTGAGGGGTGGGATGGCACCTACCTGAGCAGAGGACTCCCTTGTACCGGGCGCAGGAGAAGTCGTCGCACTCACAGAAGGGCCCATAGATGTTCCCAAACTCGCTCTCATAGCACACACACTGGTTGCAGCTGCACTCCCCCCGCCCGCTGCAGACGGGCTTTCCCTCCACCTCACGGCACAGCCCAGGCTGGGTCTCCCCGCCGGCTCCCTCCTCACACTCGCAGCGGGCCCCCAGGTAGCCGGCATCACACTCGCACAGCCCGCAGGCATAGGTCCCATTGCTGCTGCACTTGCTGCTGGATGGCTCCGCATGGCCGGTGCAGCCGCAGAGGCAGTTGTAGGTGACGTTCACTTCCAGTGTATCACGGAAGCCAGCTGGCTTGATGGTGAAGACATGGGAGGTGTCCTCAGCAGGGCAGCCACGGGCCTCCACTGACACCTCAAAGGAAACCTGGAGAGAGAGGGCAAGGGGGGAGTCAGTGTGCAGCCCAAAATGGCCTCCCAGGTATGGATGAACTGCCCTAACTCCATCTCACGTGGGCACCTCAGCGCCCTGATAGTCCATCAAGGTTTTGACCTCCTTTCTGCCCCTCACTGCCACTCTGGTTCCCCATATGGGCCACGTGTGACCCAAGTGGGACAGAGGCACAAAACTGACATTCAATCCCTGCAAGCCACACACCAAGGGGAGAACCACCAAGAGGGAAGTGTTGGAGCTGTGCTAGGGGAGCCCCAAACAACTGTGCAGCCACTCTCCTCACCACCTTCATGCCCCCACATAGCCCATGCAGCTTCTGCTTGCTGAACCCACATCTCAGCCCTCACCAAAGTGTTCATTATTCCGTGGGTAGCTCATTTCAAAACATACCACAGGCATTCGAGTGAAGTTTCAAGGCTTATTGCCATCACCCACAAGAGTTAATGTTCTTCATCACAGACCTCTGGTTTCTGTGAAGCAGGAGGCAGCCTGCCTGAAATAACTGGGGTAAAAGTCTGGCAAACAGACAGGTTTTCATAACAGCAAAAATATGACATTTGCTTGAAAGCAAGTACCAGCACAGATCTAGCCAATGCAGCACAAGGACCAAAGATGTCTACAAGGTGAAGGATTTAGCACCTTCTGTGAGAATCCCAACCTGCATCACTCATAAACCCCTAATTATGGAACAAACATAAACTGCAGAGAAGGACATAGAATCATAGAACCATTAATGTTGGAAAAGAGCACAAAGATCACCAAGTTCAACTCTAGCCCATCTCACCATGTCTGCTACCCACATCCCTCAGTGGCACATCTCCATGGTTCTTGAGCACCTCTAGGGATGGTGACTCCACCTCTTCCCTGGGCAGCCTGTGAAGTGCCTCATTACTCATTCTGAGAGGAGGTTTTTCCCAGTATACAATTTGAACCTTCTCTGGTACAACTTAAGGCCATTACATCAGAAAGCAAGCTCAGGGCATCACCCTGCTCCCTTCCACATGCCACCAGTACGAGACCCCCAGCATTTCAGGACCCGGTGTCGATGTCAACCCCTTTGGGGAAGCTCTCTCAGCTGTTCACAGGAGCTAGACTCTGATGCTCATAGAAGCTTTTGAGCAGGAGGGGATGCAAGGACAAACCTCAATAGCTGCGTGAGCTCTGTCTTCATGCCAAAGGCCAGAGCCCAGGCTCAGCCATCAGATTAATGCTCCTGCTCCAAGGGGGCCCTGGCTTTGCTGAGGACATCAGGAGGGCACGTGCCTATGGTTGGCACAGCTCCAGGGACTGATTCTACCCGCTGAGCTGAAATCCAGTAATGTCAGCTAAAATGCTGAGGCCACCTCCCCTTTTAACACTTCACATAGCCCTTATTTGGAGGGGTAAAGGTTCAGCTACTGTTTATTCTTCCTGACTATTTTTATATGCCCAAGTGCTTAGCGCTCTGGTATGTTTTTAAAGCTGTTCTTCTCAAATAAGGAAATCATCCTGCTAATGAGTCCTTGCAAACAGCAAAGGCCTGGAGAAGGGCTCAGGATTCCCAGACAGGCTGAGCCTGCTGGCCCTGCAATGCAGCGCTGATGCCAGGTGACAGCACGCTCTCCTGGTCATGCTCAACATGTTCAGGTGCATCTGGACTTCACAGAATAACAGAAACACAGTATCATTTGAGCTGGAAGGGATCTTTAAAGGCCACCTACCCTGCCATGAAGAGAGAAGAGCTCTTCAGCTGGCAGAGCTGCTCTCAGTTGGCTTTTACATTACCATAGCACAGTTTTGAGGATAGCAGAGGAAGATGGGCAGCTGGCATGTGCAGAGAGACAGACTCACCGTATCTCCTATCTTGAGATCCCCACATTTTCTGAGCCCAGGGTAGGACAATCCATCCTGGCAGGTGGCAGTGAAGGTCAAGCCAATGTCCTCAGGGCTGTCCCACACAGTGAGTTCTACTTTGGACCGAATGCTCTGGAAATACAATGAGAAAGAAAGTTGTCAGGTTAATACAGGCAGGCAGGTTTCTCTTGCAGAGAATTCTGCTTTGGTATCTTCTGTTGTATTCAGAAGGCAGCCAGGTACAAAAAACACCAGTACAAAAAACAATACCTGGAGTTGGACTGGAGCACCTGGGGATTTTGCACTCAGTTTATGTACAGTTAGTACAGTTTATGCACTCTACAAGGGTCATGATGACCACTGAAGCCTGTACTGGAAAGATGCATACACAACAAAATAAAAAAGGAAACATTCTCAACCACAAATGGACCATTTGCTTCATCTCCAAGCTGTAGGTCAGAGTCTTGTGTGCACATCTACACCTCCCCCATAGCGAAGTCTGTTGTAAGAGTGCAGAGCCTGATGCTCCACTGGCATCCATCCCATGATGCCTTTTGTACTGCACAAAGGAGACATAAAAACACACTTGAAACTGAATCAGCAACTCTGTCCTGCTTTCTTGATTCAGCACGAACTGGTCAGAAAAAACTTTCCTCTGAAGAGAAAATGCCAGACTTTTTTGGATAAGTCAACAGCAAATACTAGGTTTTCTATGACAGAAAAAAGGTAAAATCTCTTTCTTTGTGAAACCTTTTAAAGTGAAAGACTTGCTGCATCATGATGTTTTGGTACGCTCCTATTCCCTTTCTTCTTCTTCTCATTTCTCCACCCTGATGCACAACCCAGACTTTTTAAGCCAAAACAAAATAAAGGATAAAGGGAAAACTCTGTTTATAAGTACTAATGTGAAACGAGGTTGTTTTGTTTAGTTCTTCTGATGGCTGGAAATGACGCATGGTGAGTGGTATCCAAAAAAGACAAAGGCTACAGAACACAGGACAGCAGGTCAGAAGGACCACGGTATGACCCCACCTGGGTCATTCTTACGTTCTGATGCAAACACCAAGATTTCTTATCAGCCTTATTGGGTAATGCTATTAGCCTAATTTAAATCCAATTATTATTAGCCACTTGGCACTGCAAAGCAGCATACCTCCATGGCACTGCAGCCACTACTGGAGGGGTTTTGCTGCTGTGCTGTTTGGTGGCCCCAGGCCTGCAATACCTTCAGAAATGAGCAGAAGACTCCAGAGAGATTCAGAGAAAGGACCTTGCCCATGGAGCAACTTCTGATTGAAACAAAGCTGTAACGGCATGGGGTACACCCTAAGGAGGAGCATTTCAGTGTGAACGCAAGGGAATTCTGAACCTGCAGCGGCTCCAAGGATGGCTGACATAAAGGCCACCTGCCATGGGAAACCCATTAGTGCTGTAGAGAGGAACATTATGAGATCTGCTGGGAATGGGTTCAGGAAATCAGTGTACTGTTTGCCCCCCTGGCTGCAAAGATCAGCTCAGACACTGCGTGTATGAAGAACCCTACCTGAGGGCTGACCCAGAACAGCACAGTATTTCAGTTTAGCCAAAAAGAACACGAGTGGAACATTGTATTTCCACAACAGACTTTCATACATGGTCACACTGAGTTACACGTCTCACACACCCAGCATCCTCCCAGAAGCACAGAGCTGAACCATAAGGATCCAGCAGAAATCCAACAAATTCAGACAGCTATCCCACTAGCTCTCTATGTAGCTGCTTCTGGTCACTCTGCTCCCCCCTTACCTCCATAGAGTTGCATTGTAATCAACCCAAGGATGCCGCCTAAGCTGCGTCACGTCCCTGACAGGTCACTGACCATCAAACAGCAAATAAATGATCTATTTTCTCTAACAGTATGGTGATCTGTGACAGCTATTAAATCCAGGTTACATTTATGGTGCAATTCCACTCATGCTTTGTTTTTCTTGCCAGCCCAGCAAGGGACCAAGCAGATGACATCAGCCCAACCATCAGCATCATCCTAAAGAGGACAAGCAGCTCCTTTCCCTCCCCAGGGTGGATGCAAGCACGTCAGCAGTGACCCACTGCAGAGAGGACCAGAGAGATGCAGCCAAGCCTGGGTGGAGCACACGAGGCAGGGCTGAGCGAGCTCAGCTCTTGGCGCTCCCACCACAGCAGCTGTGGTGTTAAAACACACTTACGTTGTAGGCCTTGACAATCAGCTCGATGATATTCTTGGAGTCCTTGTGCAAAATCTCCACCGTGGTCCCAGGAATCAAAGCAGTGAAGTTCTTGAAAAGACAACAAGTGGAAAACGCGCTGCAATGCAATGCGATGTGGCAGTCGAGCTTCCCTGAGAGCGGGTGTGGAGCATGAGCTCAGCCCCCAGCCCCATGGGGACTTCCAGCACCTCGCTGCTTGCCTGGCTCAGTGCAGAGAATGCACTTCCCAAAAACCCAATCTGCATCCCCACATCCCTCCACCCACTTCTGCCATGAGACAGCCCCAGGGAAGAGCCTCCTGCCACAGGGATGGCAAAGGAGCTCAGGTTGGGGCTAGGGAGATGGAAAAACACAGCTGGGCAGCAGCATCGTACTGGATTAGGTAATGGGACTGAGTCACAGCGGAAAGGGCTGAACAGGTTTCTGCTCTCCCGTCTGCTGCACAGCAGCAAGATTAGGATAGGGTCTATTTTAGGTACGCACACACTCACTAACACAGAGATCTGCTTGCAGTAAGCAGCTTTAGTGCTTTCCACTGAATGACCATGCTCTGGGTGCTAGCAGGGAGAGGTGACAGCTGTGCCAAGCTGGTGTGACCTAAGGGCATCATGGCCAAGACGCTCTCAAGAGGCACCCTAAGCCCTGCCCATGAACTGCTCAGCAGCACTTACCTTGTACAGGACATAATGGCTTTTCGTAACAGCAAAAATCAGGTGGATGTTGTTTTCAGCCAGTTTCTCCCCAAGGAGTGCCAGGGAAGGATAATCCTAGGGGAAAAACAACACAGAAAGACTGATGGGTAGAACAAAGACTAATTTCATTACTCTTCTCCCAACAGCAAAACCTGTGGCATTTCACTGCAGCGTGAAGTGAACCACTACATCTACAACTGAAATAGTAGAAACATTCTGGTAACTCTGTCACTCCCTGAATACTTCTGCTGCACTTATCATTAGAATGCATAAAATGACAACACCATGAGCCACAGTTACACTTGAAACAATTTTTTTTCCCCTCCTCTTTCAACTTTGCTATCAGCCGATGTGCACGTGTAACCCACCTGCCGACCCCAGGGATGCATGACATGACCATGATCTAGAACTGCACTAAGCAGAGATGCATGATTTTTCTCTGAAAGCTGAGATTGCCTGTTCTTGCTGCATAGTAGAACCATGAAGAAATGATGATAAACTTCAGTTCTGCAGAACTCAGAGAAAGGTTAGCAGGAAGGTACTGTTCTAGCAATTCATAAGCAACAAAATAACAAAACTGTATTCATTTCAAGAGCTTCAGGCCCCAAGCTACTTCTGAAATGCGGCTCTCAGAAAATTCACCCCACTCACTTGCAAGCTGAAGGGCTGATTTAGAGCTTCCAGGACTCAAATAAACACTGAGACAGCATCCCCATGCCAGCTCCCCAGCACAGCTCCAGTACAGCAGCTGTGCTCTGGAATGCAAACACTTGCAAGATTGCATGGGCTGTGGACAGGGGGTTCTCTAAGGAGCCATAGGCAACCATCCAGAAACACCTCTTGTCACAGAGTGGTGTATGCAGGAACAAAAATCATAATTAGTGCTTGTGACTTACTGGATAAAGCACCATTCTGCAGGAGGATGTGATAATTAGGCAGCAGACAAATGCTCATTCACCACAGAAGTTTCCTCCACTGAGTTTAAATAAAGGGAGAAAAAAAAAGGGGCTGGTCTGTTTATTTAGTACTAAGATCTACGTTAGGGTTGTGCTCAAAGGCTGTGAATAGGATCAGCACCGAGTTGTGCTCGTGGCAGCAGCCACATCAAGGTAGGCTCAGCCTCCCTGCTGACAGCCTGACAATCCCTGGGCACTTCGCAGTTGATGATGCACTTCAGCTTGCCAAGTTACATTTCCCTCCCTGTCAGTGAATCCTGACAAAATCTGCTGGGCTCCAAACCTATCTTCAAGCACCACAAGTGCATTCACTGAGTGGAGATGTCTGAGGGAAAGAGTGAAATCACACTCATCAGGAGCAAACAGAGCCCAGAGCAGCACAGGGCCTGCTGACAACCCGAGGTCCCTGTGCCCACTCACCAGCTGGCTGGACGCGCTGTACTCATTGGCCTCGTTCAGGTGGCACTGGCCATCGTGGGGCTGCACCAGCCCCCCCAGCTTCCCATCCAGAGCTATGTGGGGCACATCATCCGTGGTGAAGACCAGCAGGTGGGATGCTTCCTTCCGCCAGCCGATCTTCTCCTGAGGCAGAACAAAAGGCCTCATTAACACTAATTAGTAGAAAGCCGTACATCTGTCCACCCATATCTGGTGAGAAAAGATGATGTTGGGGCCCTTCTAGCATTTCCCAGCACCTCCCTGCAATGCAGTTACTTAAAAAGGCATGAGTTGGTACGTGGACTGTCCACCAGACCTTCTCTACCTTGATCCAAGAATAAGAATTTCAGCTGCTTTTATAGCCAGAGGAGACATGCCAAATTCCTCTGCACGCGTTTCATCTGACCTCGTTTCCTCAGCTAGGTGAAATGGCTGTGCTGCTGCACACAGCATGAGAGCTGCACCAGCCCTACTCAGCATTTTTCTTGCAGGCCATCTGTGCAAGAAATAGGCGTTGTGACTGTCTGTGCATGGACAGATCTGCAGGGATAGGGTTTTTGCATGGAAAGGCACTAGAGTTGGATGCTAATTGCTTCCTTCCCACAGAGCTCCCTCAGCTCCGCACCAGCCCAAGAAGCAGATCCGTGCCTAAGAAAGCACACAGAAGCTGCTTGTTGCAATGGAGGTGGAGAGAAACAGAGGTGCCAGAAGGAAATTTTTGGATGCCATCAGGTAGCAGCTCTCTCCACCTACACATGTGGATGGCTCTGGCCTCCAGCCCCCCCAGTGCACACATTATGGAGCCAGGAGCACCCAGATGCAACCCACATCTGAAAAGACCCAACTCCTCTGGATTTCACTGCTCAGCTTACTCAGTAACATCTGAAACCTACCTCATCCTACATTCAAACACCAGCTGACAAACTTCTGCAGCTTGGCTGCAGGCATTTCCTATGGAAACCGCTGGTGGAGTGACAGTGAGTTGGCAGTGCACACAGAAGTATAACCATGATTGCCACCACAATTTTCAGCTGCAGATGTGAGTCACAGCCCACAGACTGCTGACCTTTCTGGTAAATACAGCTTCAGGAGAACTACTCCAGACTCTACTTCCTTTTCTTCCCCAATGCAAGAAATATTTTTTCTTTAAGGGCATTTTCAAGAGCCATGTAATGCAGGTACGACCAGAGGAAACCCTCACTGGCAGGACAGGTGTGCCATGTAGCAGCACACTGCCATCTAGGTCAGAAAGCAATAAGGGCTTTTTTTGGTCTGGGAAGTGGGAGCCATTCCACTGAAGCAACCCCACCAGACAAAAGGCAGAAACCCCAAGAGTGATTATGGCTCTGACAACGCAAGCAGCTTCTTGCACCACTCAGCCAGTGGACAGACATCCACCCAACAGCCCATCAACTCAGTTTCCTTCGGTACCCGAAGCTGACTTCTTTAAGGACTGAGAGAAAAACCACAGATTAGAAGCTTAGAAGTGTGCTATGCACAAAGCGAACAAACTTCATTCAGACAACAGTTATGCAGCCTTTCCAGGCATGATTCCTCTGTTTTCCTGCCTTCTGGCACCACCTTCTCACCAAGGGCTATGTACCTCTTCATACACAGACTCACCCCTATTCTCACACTTAAGCCAAGCACGTAGAAATGCTGAAAAATCTGGGCAGCATATCTCAGCTGAGACACCCACCCTGATGCCGAAGCTGCACGGTGCTTCGAGCCAATGCAGCAAACACCAAAACGTTACAAAATGTGCATGGCTGCTGGAGACGGGTGGAAAAACCAAGAGGTAGGCAGTGAGCAGCTGCAGCATCTTTCACTGCCTCCTCCTGCAGCTGCAAAGCGCTGGGAAATGCCGCTCTGTACGAGACATACAGTGCTCTGCTCTGCTTAAAACAAACAACCAAAGAGGCTTGCATTTATTTTTACTGGCCCGTGATTTTTGAACAGTGATCTGCATTGACGCCGGCACTGGTTTAATCCCCGTGGGATATGAAGGTTTGAAAGGCAGGGTGGGACCTGACCTGAGGCAGCATGGAGGGTAAGGACATGTCTCTGCAGGGCCACGCAAGAATAAATCCTGCCCTGCTTCCACGGTTGCTGCTGTCAGAACCACCACAGCTGCCTCAGCACACCTCAGCCTTCCAAACGCTATTGAAAAGGCGGCCAGATTGTTATCAGTGTTTCCAACTCTGAAGTAAGCATCTAAATTTATGCTAAACATTGTGCCTAATGAGCGCTGACCAAAAGCAGTTCAAAAGACACTTCATTTTACAACTAAGCATCACTTCCTTGCTGCAGCTCTGTGTATACGATCTGCAACTTACATGTGCCACCAAGCTCTATGATGTCTGCACTTCAAGATGGCAGAAAACCAAAGTACTGCAAACGGAAAATGTAATTACAGAAAGTTGATTAATATTCCTGGCTAACCGTTCTAGCATCATCATAAAGGCTTATTGTCTCTGGCTCTTTCATTGCCTCCAGGATAACATTTACCATCTCTCCATCTTTCAGAGAGGAGCCAAACACAGACCAGTTATTAGTCTGTATTAACTGTGCAAGCTCTTCTCACTCCTCAGTTCAAAACCTCAGCCAAAAAATGACAGAGCTCTCATAACAGCTCATGCAAAAGAAACACTCAATATGAATTACAGCATGAAAACACCTCACCAACAAATGAGGGACTGTTTCTCCTACTTCTGTGCTTGCAGGGGAGAACATGGCGCTCAGACACTGGGGCTGCCAAGTGCCGTTGCTTGGGATGCTACAAATGGCTTCTTTAAGTGCCCAGGGGGTCTGAAATTCCCTAAAGGGTGAAAGCTGGAAGAGCTGGAGCACACCAGGAGAGGCAATGGGGTACTGCAGACAGGTGGCAATGGGGAAACACACCCCAGGGCCACAGACAGCCCCCAAATCACCACCTGCAAAGGGAACAAAGTTCCCCTAGGGGTTATGGGGCTTAAGAAGCACAGCCCAAATGATGCCTCTGTGCAATATTTCTGCACTATAAGGAAATCCTGTCCCATTGCTGCGGTAAGGAAAATGTGACGGAGAAACCGCAAAGAGCCAGACGAAGGGTGGCACAACTGAGTCACTGCCCTGAGACTTCCCTGCTCTAGTGCCACCTCTCAGCCACATGATGAACTCTGTACCTACAGAGAGCTGGGAGCAGCGCTGTTCCAGTGCCAGCAGCACCTGAGAGACGGCTGCTCTGAGGCATCGGAGCCAGCAGGGCAGGCTCGGTCCTGTCAAGCACCCAATGTGAACAAAGGGCGATATGCATTCCCACTCAATCCTGTTGCACAAGCTTGCATCCCACTGCTCCTGCGGATGATGCTTATCCCAAAATCCACACCCACAAGAAAATAGAACCTACCAAAAGAACTGTGCAAGGCTGAGCTGGACAAAAGCCAAATTGTGTGTGTTTTATGTTGAGGGAGAGAAGATTTAGGTTGGATGTCAGGGGGAAGTTCTTTACAGAGAGAATGGTGAGGTGCTGGAACAGGCTGCCCAGAGAGGTTGTGGATGCCCCATCCCTAGAGGTGTTCAAGGCCAGACTGGATGGGGCCCTGGGCAGCCTGGGCTAGTATTAAATGGGGAGGCTGGTGGTCCTGCATGTAGCAGGGGGTTGGAGATTCATGATCCTTGAGGTCCCTACCAACCCTGGCCATTCTGTGATACTGTGATTCTGTGTGTCAGAGGGAAAAAGGCAGCTGGGGCTGTCTGTGGAGAGCAGGGCAGCCCAACTGCACTGCCCAGGGGAGAGGACATTTGAAAGAACCATTGGTTTTCATCCCCAATTCACAAAGGGATATGGAGCAACCCAACCGCTTGCTGCAGGAGGATTTTGAGCAAGAATCTTGCAGTGAGAACAGCATGCAAACCTAGCTGTGCACTGCAGGGAGAGGGCTTGTCCTGTGTGGAATGGTGACAGCAAGGAAGATGCATTTCTGCTATGCCTCTTCATGCATAAAAGCAGATAAAAACCTCTACTTCTCAATGCAATTTTTATGGTTTCTACAATAAAAATTTACGCATTGAAGCTGGATCCAAGAACACAGCTAAAGAAACTTCCTCTCTTTTACTTTGCTTTAAAAACCCAGAAGGCAGTGGGACTCACCTTGCACACAGCAGCCTGCAAAATTGCATCAAAACCACCCTCTGGTGCATCCCGGTTCCGGGACACCTTCTGCTTCTGCACTTCTTCATTGAAACGATCAACTTTGTCAGTCAGGGACAAGAGATGGCGGAAACCAAATGAAGGGACACAGCTTGGGAACAGCTTATACCTGCAAGAGGAGCAGAAGAGGAAGGGTTAGTTGGCATCAACCTCACCAAGAGCCATAAGCTGCAGGAGCTCCGAGCTCTACTACACAGGCCTCCAAATCTCTGAGCCTTCCACAAGACTTCATGCTTTGGATGCTCTGATTTCTGGCTAGTTATCCACAAACACACAGTAGAGCCCGTCTCTGCACTGGCTTTGAGCAGCTGAAGCTTGCAGAGTTCTCATCTGGACTGAATGTCTCCATATAGCATTTAAGTGGAGACAACAAGCACCAGGGCCATATGGCTGTGGGGTTTCAGTGCCCATAAGTCACAGCAGTTTCGCACTAGAGCCCACAGCACAGCAATGCAGTGGGCATGCATCTACTTAATCACTCATGCATCCTCCCACTCTCCCCGCAAGGCAGATGAGCAAACACTGTCATTCCTGCTTAGCTTGGAGCAGCAAGGAAGGAGCAGCACCCTAAGGTGGAGAAATGACACAGTAGGCTGCCAGGAAACCTTGCAAGGCTGCCAGGAAACCTTGCAAAGCTGCCAGGAGGCAACAAACCTCGAGGGTTTGGTGTTCTTAGGGTTGGTTCTCATGGTGTGCTTGGGAGCCCTGAGCTGAGCAAGTCCTGCAGTTTGGGCAGGAGGTGAGCATGGGCAGGGGAGGGGGAGGAGAAAAGAATAAAATTTGTTTACAAAGGAGTTGCACTTGCAGTAGGTCATTCTTATCTTCAGAGATAGAAAGAAAAAAATGACTCACTGTGGGTAGGGTCTAAGATGCTTTCTAACAAAGGAACAGTTAAAGTTTACCACTGCTGGTGGCTCTAATTCCTCCCATGCCAAAAGCTGTGTGCCACATGCATGTCCCCATTGTGCAAACCCACACACATCACCACACAAGGACCTAGCAGATCCAGCCTCCTGAGCACGGCAGCTGAGCTTTGCTGCAGCAGCAAATAAGGACTAAAGAGATGACTGCGTGCATCCCTGAGGCCATGCCAAATCTCAGGGGCAGGGAAAGATCTGTGTAGAGCAGAGGACACAGTGCTATGGTGTCAGTGAACAGCTCGTGTAGAGCCACTTGTCCATGCCCAGCCAGGTTTGTCAGCCAGGTTGTTTCCATTACAGCAGCGTCCCAAAGCTAGGCATGCAAGGGATGCAGAATGGAAAATACTGCATAACCTGAATGCTCTGAACAAGAGGAAGTGTTTGAAGAAAAAGTGACAGATGAAAGTACTCCTTCACTAGCCAGGGCTTTCATCTGGGTGCTGCAGAACTCTATATGCTCCAAAACAAGCTTTGTACTTTCCTCTGACTTACCTACTTTCATCCCACTATAAACACGTGCAAGGGCACCAAAGTCAAGGAGTTCCAGATTTGTGGCTATGCTTCACAGCCAAAGCATGAGTTTTTAGTATTAAAATCACCATCCAATTGACTTTCCTCTCTGGATAGGACTGATGAAAAAAGTGCGTGGATAATTTTGTCTGCTGAACAGGTGATGAGATGTCAAATATTCAGTCAATGCCAAAAGATGGCAAGAGACTTACAGCTGATGAAAACTCTCTCTAATCTGCCGCTCATACAGAAAGCTTAGAGCAAGCACACTCATAAAGCTTGGCGTCTGTGATGTGATCTCACAGCCTAAGTATCTCTGCATGCTTCACAAAAAAGGGCTAATTCTACTGCCCTTTCAGCAATAAAGAGCACCCCAAAAAGGGATGAGGAGAAGAAGGGGCAGGACAAGGAGCATGAAGAGAAGTGTCAAAGGCAACATTCTCCAAGGAGGCAACTTCAGGTTGGATATTAGGAAAAATCACTCCTCATAAAGAGTAGTGATGCACTGGCACAGGGAGGTGGTAGAGCCATCATCCCCAGAGATGTTCAGAAAAAGAGCAGATGGGCACTGGGTTAGTGGGCATGGTATGGATGGGTTGGAGTTGGACTTGGTGATCTTTGTGATCTTTTCCAACCTTAATGATTCTATGACTCATTGTTGCACCCTCACATGCCAACATCCAAATCCACCTGAGCCTGTACGCCCTCCATGTCAGCCTATTTCACTCTGGCATAATCCTTGATTCAACAGACTAGATCCTCTGGCTGTTACAAGTCAAACAAAAAGACACTAAGAAAGCTACTAACAAGGGAAAAAAAAGGCTCTGATAACACCGCAAAGCAAACTGCATTATTTGTGTCTGTTGCAATTGCCAGTTCGCTTTCATTCCCTGGCAATAAAGATGAAGGAAACTGCCTGACATCTTCAGAATGCCTTACAAATACTCATTAATCAGTCTCACAGGCCCTTCCAAATCTCACTTCCCCCAAACACTTCTGTTGGGAAAGAATTGCACTGCTTTGGTCTCCTTATCTGTAAAGCAGAGAAGAGCTTAATTGACCTACTCAAGGCCAAACTATGACTCAGAGACAGGATCAGAAATCAGGAATTTCTGGCTCTTGCTCCCTTTTCCCAAAGTCTCTAAAAAAAAAAAAAATAAAATAAAAAAGCCCGCAATGTCTGCATCCTCTTCAGGTATTTAAAAATAGCTTTAGATTCCTGGCACAAGAGGAACATCTAGGTACATCTTTAGATCAGAGTAACCCCAAAAGCTGTTGCAAAATTGGGAATTGCTTGATTTTGAATGGCTCTGGAGCATTACCACACAGTCCCAAAAGTGTGGTTCGGTGCCTAAAGCCAGAACTGCAAGGAAAGACTCTCCAGACACTGTTAGTATCTGCACTGGGCTTCTCCTTTTGGGGAGCACCTACTTACCCAATGCAGGGATTGTTTTGGTATCTTGGTGCTGTGTAGGAGAAAGGAGAAATGTTTTTGTCCACAAAAGAGCCAAAGCCCAGCCGGAAATTGCTAGTGAGCTTCCGCATCTCTTCAGCCAGCTTTGTCCCCAGATTGCGAATATTGTCCAGGTCGTCATTCATGGACAAGGAGAGATCCATCAGGTAGTACAGGTCCACAGGATAGTCCTCCACTTGCCGGACCTGAACTCGGAAGGAGGTCCTGTCACCTGCACACACACAATAGTTGAGAGCAGTGAAAAGCACTGCAAGAAAACACCTAGCACATCATCAAATCTAGACTGCGTGCTATTTTTGCTTTCACTGTGCAGAGTAGGCTCTCTTGCAAACTAAGAGGGTTAAGGGGAACAAGTTTTTTCAAGTTTACTCCTCAGGAGACTAACAGGTAAGCAAGGAAGCCTTATACAAGAAGGAAAGGAGGTGGAGCAGAAGAAGGAAGAGGGTCAGGACGAAACATGAGTTGAAGGCAAGATGTCCTCTGGACTGTTCCTGGAAGGCAGGTTGAGGCAAATAAAGAAAGAACATCTTTTAGAAAGACCTCTCTGCAGGAAAAGAGTCATGTCACCATCACTCTGGAGAAAGCAGGGCAAGAAGGGAAGTGAAACAGGAAAAGAGGGATGTTGCAGTCAAATGGGGAAGTATCAAAGTGGAGATAAAGCTTTCATCCAAAGTGATGAACACAAGGGAGGAAACTGACAGGACTGAGTCAGGCTGAGAAGACATGAAAAAGAGCTGAAGTAAGCCTCTCCCCTGACCTGCCCTTCTGCAAAGCTCTTCTGGTCAAGACAGTGTCCAGAATAGGAGTCCACGTGCTGAAAAAGGTGAGCTGGCATAAATACGAGCTCAACTTGAAGCCAGAAGGGACAAGGCCAATGTCTGCCTTACATTTTGCCAACAACAGAGTGAGGGGACAAACTGAAATCCCCAGTACTCTCCAGCTAAAAATCCTGTATCTCCTGCTGGCTCTGCAGCCCCTTTTCCAGCTTGCTGAGTCCTCAGGGGTTAAAGTCATCTCAAGCCCAAAGCACCCCTTCCGTTCCACCTCTCACTTCACAGCCCAGGCTGAACTTTCAGGCACCAGCAGGTTCTGCAGCACTCTTTGCTTCCTCCCACTTCAGAAATGAAAAGCACATTTTTTATTATCATGAAAACATTTCCCTAAAAGTTTTATTGTTTTCCTCATTGTTTGCAGCAGCACAGCTGCTCCCACTTACTTCCAGCCCACAAGCAGGCAACAGCAGCATCCCCAGTGCTCTGCAGCATCCCCAGCGCTCTACTGCCCCACATGGTGCCAGATCCTGCTCCCCTGAGCCCCGTGCAACTCCTACCCCAAGATGCATTTTTCCCCACTTAACCCATTGAGAAAAAAGGAAATGTGCCTTTGGCATACAGTGCCCCGGACACCGCAGTTTCAAAAATACTGTTCTTCCAGAGTAGGTCCTAAGATGGGAATTGCCATGCTGGAAAGAGTTCTTGGGATGCTCCACTGAACCCTCCTTGATGGTAATGAATGTATTAGTCCACAAAAAAACAGCAATAATATCAGGATCCCAGGGCTGCTTCTTCTTTCATTCCTAACTACACAAATTAATTAGCTCACAGAAAATATTGCTAATGTATGGCGATGTCAGTACAAAAGAATTTATTTTTCACTGTGTGCAGTACTTGTCTGACTCTTCAGGGATAACCCAGCCTCTTCCTTCCCCCCCCTACCACCGCCACCATCCTCTCCTTAGGGCTTTTATTGAGAAGCATTAAAGTTAAAACTGCATTCAGAAATGTTTCCTGGATACTGTCACACAGAGGCAGCACAAAAACTGGAAAAGCTGCTTTTGGCCAATTTAAGAATGCAAATTCGTCAACCGCGATTATCCACAAAACCCTCTTCTGCTTGCTGATTTAATGGACAACACAACATGAATCTATTCATTGCTTTAAGTTCCTTTTACAATATTCGTACTTTTCATACCAGAACACTGTCTTACAGCTGAACCCAGAGTTAACAAGCAACATCATAAAAACTAAATGCTTGATCTGAAAGTTGCCCTGAGAAGACATCACTGTAAGGCCTTCAGGAATCAACTCAGAGCACAGAGATTTGGGGATGTGGTTTATGCCACGGGATGCTCAGATCTCACAGCCTGGGTGGGACCAGCAAACAATTGACAATTTGCCCCGTTCTGCTTCTGCTTAGCGGTCTGAGAATAGAAGAGCACAATCACCACGCCTGCTGTGTCAACTGGTCTTTGAAATCCTACACTCTGGGCACAAAAAGAAATAACTCCCGTTGGAGCACAAAATTGGTATTATGCACAATATGCACAAAATTAAATCAATATTGTCTCCTTTGTGTCTTGGGTGCAGCCCTCAGGATTCACTCTCAAGCTCAAGTACAAATGGATGATTTAAACTGGGGGTGCAAAGCCCAGCGTTTGGGAAGTCATCAGCCCTGAGTAAGAGTGTGCTGCTTTGCAACAAAAACGAAAAAGAAAAGCAGTACAGATGGGAGATAATATGAAAAATGTAGATATATTTCTCCTCCTGTAGTGACCTGAAGGATTTGAGGGCAAGTCCTGCAGCCACAGGATCAGTTGCAAAGGCGAGACAGCAGAAAGCTGCTGGCAAGACTCCTGTCCCTCCCTGGCTCCTGCATTTGTTGGTATTCAGAAGCAGCAGTACAGCCTCACCTTCACTCCCTATTTCTGCAGGCCTTTGCTGTTTGCCCATAGGAGCTATGGATACCCCATCCCTGTTCATCCCTGTACGCCTGGAGGCGCTCAAGGCCAGGTGGGATATGCCCTGTGCAGACTGATCTGGAGGTTGGCAGCCCTGCCCAAGGCATGGGCAATGGATGATCTTTAAGGTCATTCCAACCTAAGCCTCTCTATGACTCTATGATTTGTCCAGCAGACCACAAGCTATGGTAACCCACAGCATACAGGTGAAGCAAGAGCAGTGCAGCACCCTAGAGGGGTTATCAGCCCCACTTTCCATCTTCCTGCCATATAGGAACTTGGCAGTGCAGCCTGACTCCATGCGAGGACCAGCAGGAAGAGCAGCTCCAGCATCCAGCAACACAGCCCCAGGAAAACCACACAGAGATGGACCCCACATCCCACCTCACTGCTGGAGCCATGGGCATCCCAATAGCTGGGGGTGGGGAAAGGAAAGTGCTGAGCACCAGGCATCATGCCTGCAAGACGGCAATGCTGAGCCTGCCCTTTCCCACAGCGACTGCCTTGAGGAACAGAGTAATAACAGTAATAACAACTCCCTTTGGACGGGAGCAAACCTGTTGCGTTAGCAGCATCAAATTGCAGAAGCAGAGCCACACCGGAGCCACCGTCAGCCCTGGTAGCTCCTGAAAGAGCTCTAGTGTGGTGAGCACCAACTCACACTGCTGTTTTTCTTGGGCAAAAGCATCCTATCTCATTTTTCTGTATGCTCATGAGAGCTGTCACAGAAACATAAGCCCTAGAAACCCACACCAATTGCTTATAATGAATCATGCTTTTATACTTGCTTCTTAACTTTGCCATAAAGAGCTTTTTCTCCCCCCTTCAGAAACATTGGCTGCCAAATGTTTGTTAGAATTCTGAACCCACATTAAAGCCTTCCCCTACCATGCAAAAACTTTTGATAACAAGCACGCTCGCGTGGCTCCATCTAGCCTTTCACTCTTAATTTTCATTTAAAATGAAAAGACTTAAGGAAAGTGATGGCTCAGGGGAGTGAAACAAGGATGTGGATATGGTCCAAGCTCTGAGTCACAAGTTCAAATCTTCATCTCAGGCCTTGATCCCATGGCTCTTTTGCATACCAACAGAAAACAGATATGCTTTTTAAAAAAAATTTACATACGGAGCTGTCTCAGTTTAGAGTCAAGCACTGTCAGGCTTCAGGATCCAAAGTTTCTTTAACTCCTTCCATCCAAAGGGTGTATTTTTAAGCTGAGTGTGCTCCTTTTAAATGCACACAAGGGTTAAGTGACAGCTTTACGTGGGATCTGATTGACCTCTCACTGTCCTCTCATAGAAAACCTCAGCCCCAGTTCTGTTTGGAGCATATCACTGAAGCTGATGGGCTCTGATGGCCAGCAGCCAGCACCTTCAGTGAGCACGAGGACATGGGTACAGCCATCCCTCTGCATGCTCAGGCTGGACCAGGCTCTGAGCACCCTGATCTAGCAGCAGGTGTCCTTTCTTGTGGCAGAGCAGGTGGACTACATGACCTTTAAGGCCTCTTCCAATTCAAATGACTCTATGATCCTACATCCAGTTCCACTTCTTGCCCACCCACATGCAACCATGGAGCTGGGAGCTGCTGGGACTCACCAGGACGAAGACTCAGGGCGACCTTCTGCGGAGTGATCTGTGTGACATCCAGGTGGCTTTGTCCAGAGCCCTTGCTGCTTAAGGGGATGTTCTTCATCACGCTGCTGCTGCTGCGTGGGTTCTCGATGGCGCCGGCACAACCGTTGGCAATGAGGTTCTGCAGGAAGTCACACCGCGATGGGACGGACTTCGTGCTGCCAAACTCCTGGGGGGGAAGAACAGACAGATTGGAAAGGGAAAGGAGAAGACTAGAAGGTGAATTTTTCCATGTGTGCCTGAGCCTGGTGGAGCTTGACAAAAGAGAGGAACGCAGAATTGTTGCCAAGAGAAGACAGAGGGCCATGTGCAAGCTGGAGAACGAGGCTGGGAGCTCCAGGGACATACGTCCCCTCTTGCCTGGGTGAGACCACACATCCCAGCACCAGCACCATGGTACCCCTACCTCAAACCACTGCAAAGAGGACCCTGGATTATCGCACAGGAAAAATGCCACTGCAGCAAGAGTTCTGTAGGCTGGAGCACAGCTGGAGCGCTCTGACATGGGCAGGCTGTCTAGGGAAGCTCTGCTGGAGAATAAGGGACTTGGATGAGGGCTGATGGGAGGTGTTAGACCAAATCAGCTGCAGGCTGGACAAGAAACCAGCAGGAGCAGACTGGAGAGGCAGCTGACACAGAGCTCCCCATAGCACACAGTATTATGGAAGGGACTCTTAAAGGTCATGTTGTCCAACCTCCACTGCAATGAACAGGGACATCTTCCCCCATGCCTCCCCCAGCCCTCCTGCAGCCCCTGGCCGGCCCCCACCATGGCACACAACGGGGCATTGTGTGTGGCAGGCACTCAGGAACAGCCTGGCCTCACAATGCAGCCTTTGGCAGCCAGCACGTCCTATTTGTTAGCGTGCTGGTTTTAGTTTTATTTTTGAAAAGGCTAAAAGGAGCAAGTTGCCCAAAGCTTACTGAATTTTCAACATCAGATTTCTGCTTATTTTTGTACTATAACAATAGACACAACCATCTTCTGCTTGGGAGCTAAGCAGATACTAAAATCACACAAAATAATGGAAAGAAGATGCTCACAGCCCCTCCCTCAGTTACACAGCCAAAAAAGCAGAGCAGGGTTGGATAAATCCCACTTTCTGTCAATGCTGGAGAGCAGCAAGTGACAGGGGAAACATCAAGGAGGCAGAGGTTGTCTGACTGATGTCAAACACAGCTCAGGAGTGTTCCCAAGGACAACTTCAGGTCCTGGGACACATACAGAGTATTTCCTCTGCGTTTCCTCACTACAAGGGCTGAACACTATTTGAAAAATGCAAAGTTTGCATTCCAGCATGGAGCAGCAATGCCAAGCCTAGGCGACAGCACATCAGATGGATGTGAACATGAATTTCTTGGAATGCACCGTGTAAACAGATGGACTGAGAGAAAGGAGGACTGGGACTGCATAAATCATCTCCAACATGACAAAATAGAGAGCAGAATCCCTCCCAGCCAAGAACAACGCCCAGCAAAGCAGTAGGTTCAGGGCAGCTGTGGGGAAGAGCTTATCTCAGACATGATTAGTCCTTAAAGGAGTTGGACTCTATGACACTTACAAGTCCCTTCCAACTAGGGATATTCTATGATTATATCAGCGAGAAGCCAGTCTTTGTCAAGCACTTCCAGTCACCCCTGTGGCATGCTCCAAAACCTTTTGATGTTTATGGGATGTCTTGACTTCAAAGGGCAGTGAACTGGGACCTGATTTTCTGGCTGGCATGGGGTAGCACAATGCAGCCTTGGAGGAGGATGCTTCCTCACCATCTATCAGCCCTTGGTAGCACACCCTGCAGCATCAGGAAAAAGGCTCTGGGTATGTGTTTACAGCAATTCTCAGCTCCCAGCTCTGACTGTCCCACCAAGCCAAGCCACCAGCAACACAAGGGACATAGCTCTCATGGGCTTCCACCTCCACAAGGCTACTTCAGCCACCTCAGTCCACATTTTGGGCAGGAGACACTCCTCTTCAGGAGAAATTTGAGAGGAATAACTCAGCTCTCGAGGGGATGCAGAACACCATTTGACAGTAACTGCAAAAGCTCTCACTTCAGCAGCACCTCTGCAATTCTGCAGCTCCCTATCTCTGCTGCTCCTGACCCATTTTCTGCTTAGATTTCTTCTGAAACTGGCCCCAGGGAATTGCCACAGGATGACAATTGCTGAGCTGCACTGGCTCGTGCTGCAGAATGGCATCTGCTCAGAGATCACACCCTGCAGCTCTTGGTATTGGCTCACACTGCTTGCTGGGCCTGTGCACTAATAAGCAAGCAAAAGGCAATGCATGCAAGCAGATACGAGTTAATGGAGATTAGGCCAACAACGCGACAATTACATGCTCATCAGCTGGGACGTTTTAAGACAAATTGCTTGGCTCGTGCAAGAACAGCATTGGCTATACATAACTCTGACTTCACATGTCCCAAGCTATTCCCTACAGTTTTTGCTTTAATCAGTTCAATCCTGCATTAATTCAGCAGAAACTATGCTTTCTTCCTTCACTTAGAAAGTTGACATGTTCCCTCCAGGAGATCCCTTGATTTTCCTTCCTCATCCTCCAGGCACAAACTCCTGCCATCACAAAGCACAGGGTGCATGCACGTCACTGGAAAACATGGGAGAATTCAATTCACCAAAGAAAAAATTTCAGTTTAATCAATAGGATTTATTAGCATCCCTGGCTTGAGTGCACACACACAAATATACCTGCACACATAACCCACGGGTGGATGTACATCCACACAATGTACACTCACGCCAGGTATTTTCCCCTGCCAGCCCTGTCGCAAGGCACACCCAAAAGACAGCCAGCTACGTTTTACATCTCCTCTTTCAAGTGTAATTTAAATAGATGATCCTATTTCAGCTCTGCCTTTCATAGGCATCACATTATAAAACAATGCAGAGTTAGAACAAGAGCTCACTAAGTTCCAGCTCACAGCCTGTAACAGGGACAGCGGCTTTTTAACATGTGGCTCTTGGCCAGAAATACCTGGAAGTGCATTTTTAAATAGCTGCTCCAGGCTAAAGGTCAGGAAGGATTACGGAACTTCCTTGTAAACACTTCTCTTCCCTCCCCCGGCCCCTCCACTCCATTTGGAAACTATTTTGTTTGGGAACTCTTCTGTTTGCAAGATAAAGAGTCAAGCTGCCAATGCCACAGGCTGACGTACTATTAGTGGTACTATTAGTGGTCGTAGTGACCACCAGATCAACATTTCCACTGGCAGCATTTGTAAAACTTGTCTTTTGATGCCAAGAATTTGATATATTTAAAGGCAAACTATTGGGTACCCATAAGTGACAGCCAGCGCTCCTGGATGCAATATCACACTGCAGATTAGCTGCCTGGAACAGGAACTTCTACAGCTGTTTACAAGATGTCTCAAAAGCAAGATCTACTGCTTTACCCTTTCCCTTTGCCTTCTATGCATCACTCATCCTCCTGGGAAGGAAAAAAAAAAAAGCACAGGAGCTATTATTCTGTCAGGTAATGTAATACTACAGCAGCACGAAGATGCTTTCCTTGGAGAGCTGCAGCTGTGCAGCAGTCAGGCAGTTGGACGCAATGATCTTTGTAGGCCTCTTCCAATTGAACCACTCTATTTAACAAGGGGAGATGATTTCAGACTACAAGATACCCAAAACATAAGGATGCATTTTTGCTGCAAAGCATGCTGGTAAACTGCACAGCTCATTGCCATTGGTGCAGACACCAGAAGCACTGGCAGTCTCCTGAAACAACACAGCAGACTCACAGAGGGGATTTACCTCTGTTGCAGGCCATGCAGCACGTACTGGGATGGCAGCCAGGGCAGAATGCTTTCCAGCAAGGCTCCCTGCAACTGAGCCCATGCAGTGACAGTGCCCCATGCAGAGTGGGAGACAGCTGAAGGAGCAGAAGAAGGAACATACCTCTTTGGAGCACCAAGCACACTTGGGATGGATGAGGAGACACTCTTCGCAGGATGAGGCGCTTCCACTCGTGCACAGGTTGAGACCTTCAACAAGAAAGGACAGAGAATGGGGTGGGCTGAGCTAAATACACTGCAAGTTTGGTGTCATGAGCAAAGAACCTCCCACACTAAAAGGCTGGAACTCCTATTCAGTATGCAGGTCTTGGTTTCTTTTCCTTCCCCAAGAAATATTTAAAAAGGACAGAAATTGGTTTTGGGGCAGCTGAGAACCACTGAAATACGATTCTAGAGATTACTCTTCCCTCTTTTTCAATGATGTCTGGTTAATCAAAGAAGGAAATAACATGCTGACAATGCAGTAGCTGTGCCATTGGCCCAAAGGTGGCTGTCCCTAAACCCCTAAGATGCTGACTAAAGTCACACTAGGCACACCCAGCTCCCTTCCAGCATTTCCATCTTAATGCAGCCCTAGAAGATATCCACTTCCCCATTGATGATTCCCACAGCTGAATGCAGTCACAACAAATTGCTTTAATTTATGACAGGATTCGCTTCCCCGAGATACCCGGCTGGCCTGTCCAAAGGACACACCATCAGCAGGGCTCTGTGCTGCCAACCAGGGACACTTGCTTTCTGCTCTGGGTACACAGCTATTCCCATCTACAAACATCCAGCATCTGGGCTGGGAGAGGATTTCAAAATAAAGCAGAATGGTGCAAGTTGAACTAAAACGTCAATGGCACAGGGCTCTGAATACAGCAGCTTGTTTAACCAAGCCTGGGGCCAGGAATGCGCCCTTCAATGGCACTGATGCCCCAGCCGCCTGGTTTCCGCCGCTTAACATCCACTGTCAATACATAATTAAACTGATTTTCAGCCCAGGGGCTGCAGACTCTCAACAAAATGCCTTGGGCGTGAACAGGGAGCCTGCTATTCTTTTCCTTCCCAGATGTCAATAAGAGCACTGTCCAGCCTCTATTTTCGGAGGGCTACAAGTACTGCAGGATGCCACTTGCAGACAGCGCAGACTCACTGATGGCTGCAGAACCACGCAGGTTTTTGTCCTGGGGCAAGGACCTGCCCAAGCATGGAGCAGAAGGACAAGCATTGCTGTCCCTGCTCCAAAGCCAGCCCTATGGCATGACCCAGCCGTGCACTGAGGCTGGCTATGCCCTGCCAGGTGGTTCAGCCCAGCGCGGGCTGCGGAGCTGTGCTGGCTGTATGGCTTTCATTCAGGCAGGCTGCTGGCTTTCCTGTGGGCTGAACAAGGGGCTTATTAATTTTTTTCTTGCTGACCGTTAGCACATACCCATGCGTCTCATTCCTTGTTCACATAGAGTTGTGTTTCAGCTCCTGGGCACTGTGAGGGTTCTAAGTATAAAGATGTAACAGAAAGCAAAACGTAGCTTATTCAGCAGCTGTAGCACGCAGGGAGATTAACACTCACACTTCCGAGCCCTACAGCTGCAATGGCTTCCAGCACAGACCAAAGCCTTTCCAAATCCCCTCTCTGAAGGAAATCGTTGCACTCCAGCTACCCAGCAGGTTTCCCTGCCCATTCGCCTGGAAATAGGACAGCATTTACCTCTGTTCCTGACTGATGGATTTCAGAATGTTTACTTGGCCACAGTGGAGTCTGAATGAAAACTGAGGTCTTCTCCCGCCCATTGGGTGCCACAACCAAAGGCTGACAGTGGCACAGCTCTCCATGGGACATTCCTCCCAGGGGCATTTATTGGGGTTCTTTTCCCCACTTCGGAGCAAAACCAAAACATCTCCAGCACTGTTATGAAAATTCAGCTTTATTAAGCTGCTGTACTGGGAGTGCAAGCTGAGCTTTCTGAGCTGGAGCACAAAGATGCAACGCTTTCCCAGTGATGATCTTCGCTGTGCTCAGTTCAGAGCAGTGCCCAGTTTGGTGCAGATTTTCATGCTGGATCACATGCTGGAACCGGGCAAAGGAAGGAGCTGAGGATGCCTGTGCTCATCCACTGGGCAAGGAGAAGAAACTCAGCCCCCTCCACCCAATTAACAAAACCACTCCTTTCCACTAAACTTGACGTAGTGCAAAAAATTCCACCCAGAATTTAACTGGGATTACTCTGGAGGATGATAATCCACCCCCTATACTGCCAAGCTGCACTCCGTGTACACATCTGCCCTCATGCCACAGCTCCTAAACACCAACTGCATTGTGAGAAGGACCCAGCAGGTTCAGACAGCACCTCTGGGCCCATCCTGCCCTCGGACAGAGCCACAGGGGCCCCAGTGAGCAGGGAAAGGCAGTACATCTCAGCGGGCTGCTGAGATTTTAATAATGACACCAGTAATGCAGAGCAAGATGGGAATCCCTCACGAAAGGTACACCGGTTTTACTCATGAAGATGCTCCGGGCAATCAGACCGCATTTTAAACCTGTTTTGCAAGAAAACCCCGTCCGGGCAGCTCCTCAAACTGCGGGATGAATGCAGTGGCTTGCTGGGGAGGAGAAAAGCAATACGCTCTATGCTTCACCCAGCTATGTATGAGAAAAGAATCGTTTTAGTTATGCTGAGGATGCCCCAACCCTGGAGGTGCCCAGGGCCAGGTTGGACGGGATCAGGTTCAACGCAACCCGTTCTGCGGTGCCCCGATGCGATTCCAGCGGCACAACGGGACTCGAGGAGCTCGGGACCCCGCGGAGGACCGGCGCCAGCAGAAGCACCGGGAGGGGCTCTCACGGAGATCGCCGCACAGGGACGCGGACACAGCCCCGCCTCAGTGGCACGCACCGGGCAGACATGGAAGCGGGGTTGATGAAGCCGGCCGGAGGAGGGGAACGCAGAGCAGAGCAGAGCAGAGCAAAAGAAAGTTAACTCCGTGTCGCAACGCGCGGCGGCGGCTCGGGGGCCCTTACCTCTGCCGGGCTGCAGCGGGGCGGCTAGGAGGAGGAGGCGGAGGAGGAGGCGGAGGAGCGGGGGGGGCCGGCGGGCGGCGGCGGGGGCCGGCAGCCCCCCTCGGCGGGGCATGGTGCGGGCGGCCGAGGCTGCCCTTCCCGCCGGGCCTCCCTCCCTCCCCGCCGCCTTTTGTGCGGCCGCAGCAGCGGCGGCGGCGGCGGCGGTGGAGGAGGAGGAGGAGGAGGCGGCGGGGGCGGCGCTGGGACTGCCCGGGGCGGGCGACGGGGAGCGGCCGGGGTCCGCCCGCCGCTGGTGCCGCCGCTCGGCCGCGCTCGGGCCGGGGTACGGAGCGGGGAGGCGGAGCCCGGAACTGGGGAGCGGAGCGGGGCAGCGGGGGATCACACGGGCTCGTGTGCGTGGTTGTGCAAGGGGCCGCGCTGGTGTAAATGTGTACGTGCGTGCTCGCATGTGCGTGCACACGTGCGCGTGTCGCGCATGCACGTGCAGGCGTCCACGTGCAAATGTATACACGCGTGCATGTACGCTCGGGTTGATGCACGCACACCTCCGTGTGGAGCTCGCAGAGACGCATGCACACACGCAAAGGCACAGGCATGTAGTGGGTGGCAGCTCTGTGCACAGCTGGAACCAGATGGTCTTTAAGGTCCCTGCTAACTCAAGTCATTCTGTGATGCACACAGTCACGCCCGGACACAGCCACGTGCACACACATATGTGCACACATGCATCTGCAGCACGGGCACACCGATCTCCGTGCCTGCTTGCTGCCGGGCTGGCACGCATTCCCTCCAGTTCACTGCCCCCTGTTACGTGGCATTATCCTGCTTCAGCGACTTTTGCCACACAAACAGCGTCCATCTGGCCAAGGGCTGTGAGCCGGGCTGTGCCCGCCCTCCAGCTCTGGGTCTGTCCCCAGCTCGATGGGACATCCACACTTCAGATCTAAGGGGAACGGAGGATTTATGGCAGTGTTTGGACTGCTGGCAGGCTCTGCTCCTGCTTTTAAAACAAATCATAAATCAGCTGTCAAGCCGATGGCTGATTCCAAAGGTAGTTAATAGCAACAGCTACTACCAGTGGCCTGCAGACCTTCATGCCAATTGAACAGCATATCTACTGGATCTTACCTTTAGGTTTGATTGACACACATCCTCAGTCCCCATGACTTCATATGCACTGCTGGTTTCTTCAGCATCTCCAGACTGCTGTGCCACATCAGGTTTGGATTTCACCAAAGCCGTCCTGGATCAGTAACAACCTGGCATGGTTGCAGCATTCTTCTGATGTACACAGAACAGCATTTCCCACAGCATATCCTCCATCCCTGGATAGAAGACAACCTTTCTGTAACCACACACAAGTGCACATGGTTGCAAACATATATGGACAGTATGAGAGAGCTGCACTCATCTCATTCTGAAGAGTGAGGGTCCCTCATCCCTTGCCTACCTTGATACCCTTCTCCAATGCCAGCACTGCACTTCCACCCTCATGTGCAGAGCAAGAAGTGTTGTAGCTGCTCTGAAGGGCTTCTGGGAGCAAAACCATGTGAGGCCTTCATCTTCCTGTTGGGTTTCCAAGAAAACAGACTTGGTATATTAACAAGGTTATCAACGACAAAGGCATCATACAAAGAAGGCCAGGTTGGATGGGGCCCTGGGCAACCTGATTTAGTGCCTTCTCTGGTGGTTGGCAACCTTGTCCTGCAGCAGGGGGTTGGAATTAAATGATCTTTGAGGTCCCTTCCAACCCACATCATTCTGAGATTCTACAATTTTGGGGTGGGAGCCTGAAGAAGGGCTTCATCAGCTTTGATCTTCAGACACAGCCCATATCTTTTCTCCCCTGCTTACAACGTGCCAATTCAATTGAGGGATTACTCAATCCAGGGGACTGAGACCTCTCTACTTCCTTCAAGAATTTAGGGGCCATGGAGTCCCATGAGCTTGGTTTGTATCATCGCCCAGTTCTGCTGGATGGGAGACAGGAAACAGCTGGTTAGAAAGCCCTGATCTTTGTGCTTGCTTTCTTATCGCTTGCATTTTGAAGTGTGGTGCAAGTAGGATGCAATCCAGTGTATCTTACAAGTGAGATAATTACAAGTCAGTTCTTCAGTTATCAGGCAAAACAAATAAAGTGGTTTATCCATGATACTTTGGGTGTATTAAAGATATGTTTTCGTTGTCATATGTCCCTTATGTGGCAGGAAGGGTGGATAAAAGCATCTGATTCATGTCTAGATAACCCCATATCAATTTAGACATTGTAGGTTTCCCAAAGCTGACCCCTCTTTTTTCACCTCTTCAAGTAGAATGGTGGTCCCCATAGGTAGGACCTGATCATGCTATGGAGGTGGGAGTGCAGACAAACACAGTGGGCTTTGCCTTCCCACCAGGGCTTCCCTACAGCAATGTAGTGGGTTGTCTCCTGCTTTTTGCATGGAATCTACAACAAATTCCAATTCATACAACATCCATGTCAGATGGCAGCAATAGGCAAAAATCACGTGCAAAAAAACAAAAACAGCAACAAAAAAACCATCATGAATTTTGTTCTTTCTTAAACAGCGTGTTCTACAGCTAATGATGCTGCTCATGCTGCTACTTCCTTTAAATATATATGCATTTACCATCTGAGGACCAGCGTCAGTGTTTTGCTACTGAAGAGCAACACCAGCACTCCCTGCTGCTGAGAGGAAACATTGCAGAAATGCAGGGCAGCAGAGGAGTGCACCTGAAAACTCGTTTTCGAGTTTTGTCCCTCTCTTGCATATAAATTTAAAAAACAAACAAAAACAAACAAACAAACAAACAAAAAAGGGTTCAGAATAAATCTCTGTGCCTCAAACCATCCCTCGGTGGGTATCCCACGAAGTGCGCACCATGCAATTACATGGCAACAAGTGAGGGCTGCCAGCTGGTGCTTGAGCTGCAATCACTTCAGTGCCTGTTTTCCTTCTCTTAACTCCTTATCTAAACCATATTTTGGCATCCTTGGTATATCTGGGGCAGCCAACAAGCAAGCCCCTCCTTTAGTTGCTGGATGATCAACTGAGTGCTTCACCTCCCACCTGTCAGTCTTCTGCCACCTAGGAGCACAATAAATTCTGGACACAGGTGTCCCTTCCCCATGGGATAGCTCAACTGGGGAACCTTGTATCTTCACATTATTACTTTCCATGGGCAAGCCTGGAGCTGATGGGCTGGGAAATGAGGGAGGTATATGGAGGAGATCATTCTCACACCCTTAAAAGAGCAAGATGCCCCCAGAAGAGCCAAGTGCATCAATGTCAGTCCTTCAAACAGTGCCAGTGGATCCAACTTTTGATGTAATACTGCACATCTAGGTGCAGTGTGGGGAAGATGAGCAGGCTGGGGGGCATCTGGCTGCCTGAATAGCTTTTTATGGAGGGGTTACTGAAGTACTGATCTGACAGTTGATAAAGGTCTCTGTGGCCACCCTGAGAAATATGTCCCCATCCCTGAGGTTAAGGAGCTCATTAATGGAATGGGCATCGGGGTCCCAAAGGCTGGGGTGCAGGAGAGGGTTAAAATCAGCAGCATGCTGTGCCTGCTAATGGTTAGCCCCAGCTGACACAGCTGATTAAAAGGTTTTGCATTTCTGTGGCCTTTCCTGTAACTGTGAAGAGCCAGCACCATCTTGTGGCAAGGACTCCACCAAGCTGCAGAGTGAGCGAAGCAACAGCCTGGAGGCTGGTCCATCCCTGCTGCCCTGCCTGCCTGTTAAAGTACATCCCTAGTTTGGTTAATCAGGCCTGAAAAAAGGGCCTCTGTAGACTGCAGATTTTGGAGAAAGTCTTTATTCCAAAGTCTTGCTTATGCAGCAGACTTTTTTTCTCCCACCTACACCTCGTTATGCATGACTAAAACATAGGCTGAAGTTCGCTAATGTTTAACCAGGTGGTGTTAGAGGGCACAAGGCAGGTGGCAGTGACACCCAGCAAGAGCCTGGGGGACAGGGAGGCAGAGCACGTTTCTCAAGCAATGGCCAGATTGAGAAACCTGCTGAGATAAATGTCCTTCCAGGTGTCAACAGATATTAAAGGTTCAGATCATAAAAGCATAGGATCATTAAGGTTGAAAAGACCAATTTGATCATCCAGTCCAACCATCAGCTCATGCCTGCTCCTACTCAGACCACATCCCTCAGTGCCACATCTACATGGCTCTTGAACACCTCCAGGAAAGGTTCCTACCCCCCCCCCCCCCCCCCGGGCACCTTTACCACTGCATTACCATTCTTTCTGAGAAGAAGTTTTTCCTAATATGCAACCTGAACCTCCCCTGGCACAACTGAAGGCCATCACCTCTTGTCCTGTTGGACAGAGAGTGGAGAAAAGTCTCTTTTTTTCCTGGCAAATCCCTGCAGCATTGAGTGGGTGCCATGGAGACAGTGCCCAGGGCCTGGGGACTTACTCCATTTTTTGTTGTTTTTTTTTTTTCCTGCCTACTTTGCTCAGATCTCCTGTAACTTTGAGCACTTCTGGAAGCTGTTTGGCCGCTGTCCATGTCAGTGCTGTCAGAACCTGTCACCGATGGCTCAGTATTGGGTGCAATATCCCCATGCTGCTGGCCGCACCCTTCCTTTGCATCCCTTGAGACCATGACACTGGGTATGGGTCATTTATTAACAACCACAATGTCTGTTTGATCTTATTTCTGTCGTTACTTATTTACTCCAGTGACTTTCCTTTACTCCTACTGTCTCTTCCCTTCATTCCCTATTTACTTCCTGCTGAGCCGGCTCATCCAGCAAACCCACTGCAAAGACTATGGGGGATGTGGGAAGCTCCCAGCATCTCTAGCAGCAAAAACAGAACCATGGAATATCCCAAGTTGGAAGGGACCTATAAAGAATATCAAGCCCAACTCCTGGCTCCATGCAGGACCACACAAATTTCAAATCCTGTGTCTGAGAGTGGCGTCCAGATGCTCTTTGAACACCAGCAGTTTGGGCCGTACCCACTGCTCTGGGGAGCTGTTCCATGCCCACCTCCCCCTGATGCAAAGCCTTTCTCCAGAGCAGTATTTTACCAGCAGTTGGAGCATCCTTCACAAGGCACTTAATGAATTGTATTTTCAGCCTTGTGT